ATAATTCATTAACGGTTAATGTCATAAGCCCCAAAAATAATCCCAAATATCTCTTTTTGGTATGGAACCTCGTGGTACAATTTCATTGAGATCCATACACAAGCGATTGACATGAAACAAAAAAATGCTTGTTTTGGTCCCTTTTTGATCCCCAATTCATAAACAGTTAAGACAATAACCCCAAAAATCAATCCCAAACTTCCTTTTGTAGTATGGAACCTTGTGGTACAATTTGATAGAGATCCATACACTTATACTTAAGTTATCTTCTGGCAACTAAATTTCTTCGGACGACGACGACATTGCCATACCATTATACGGCAGCTTATTTATAAATATAAAAAAAATGAATACCGCCTTTCCATTCCAAAAAAAAAAAAAAAAAAAAAAATCCTCCTATCCCCTCTTTTTTGGGTTACAAATGACCAGTCCCTTACAGGAGTAATTACCCTGTCAATGTCCCATTTTTGCCATTTTTGTGTCTTTTTTATCTTGAGAAAAGTAATATATAAGGAGAAACTTGAACAGCTAAAATGATCAGCAAGGCAAAATTTACAAAAAATGAACATACTTGAAATTTATGTACTAGTATTAAAAAGAGAGGCGAAAGATACTGGAGGGACATTCAAAGTCATAAGTCGAAAATAAACTGAAAACGCCATGGCTAAAAAAAAGAAAAAGACCAACAGACAAACAATAGTACACAAAACACAACATAGAAAACAAAAGACTGAGGAACGCGAACCCCATTAAAAACTGGGGGTGATCTCATGTGCTCCGGAAGGGTAAGCAGATCCTGCTCCACACGTGGCACCCGTAGTGTTCCTCATGTTAGTACAATCCCGGTAATAAGACTAATTCGGTAGGTCACATTCGGGAAAAGGGGACGGGATTGTAGATACGACATTAGGAAAAGATCCGCTATCATCTGTGAAACGGATAATCCATAACGGTCAACCAACTCGTGATGGCATCCGTAAAACTTACGAAGGGGTGATTTCAACTTCACCACTTATAGAAGAAACTGCCTCTAAATATGGAAATGAAACAAATAATGTCTTTTTCAAGAACATTTAAAAAAAAACATGCCTCTCAAAAAAAAGATGAATGGTTGGTACCTTAGCCCTGTTTACAGTTTTTGAGTCTGGAGGTGTATATATGAGCGGCTTCCCACGAAACATTTTATGTTGCAAGTTACTGTCTAGTTGAAGCTGTAGAATAAATGCACGAAAACGTACTAAAAAGCTGTGCGCAAATGTAATGCACCGAGTTGAAGTTCATCCCATAGCCCTTTCATCCATACAGGGGCCGAGTGGTATAAGTAGTCGAAATAATGTATCACTAGCCTAGCTGTCAAATCTTAGGTTGTGAGTTCGAATCCTGCACAAGAAGGCAGGTATTCTAAGCTCGACTCCAATCTTAATTGACTAGAATTGTCAGTTTTCCTACCGAAGGTCGATGCTTCTCTCCGGGCGCTCGGTTTCCTCCACTAATATAAACTGACCACCTCGAAATAGAACGATAGTGATGAAAATGGCGTTAAACACCAATTAATCAATCAATTATCCATACCGGTATACTTATGCCTGAGTAGAAAATTCTTTAGGTATTGTTATGAAAAACTTTTACAAATGACTGTGATTTAATTGGTATAGGAAATGAATTAAGATAAAGCGAAAATTCACAAGAAGGAATACATATACCGCTAAAGCTGTCTTTTGCAATAAAGGTTGTTTTATCATATTTTTCGCCGTAGCAAGGAAATTCTTCAACTAGCTCCTTTTTTAATGGATCTAAATACTCCTCCGAAATGTTTGAAACGTTGATTTTTGTCTCATTGTTTCTATGAATTGCACTTTTGGAGGCTGATACGAGGCTGGAGCTGCTAGATCAGAAACAGTAAATTGGCATTCAAAAAAATAATGCAGAATATCCTCTTGCAGATCAAATTTTTGAACTCCGTGTGCTCAATACACAGTCGAGGACCCATAATTTAATAACTTTGACCGTATGTTCATTACTGTAGACCCATCGATTAAAACTAAACTTTGCAATTCATATTTTGACAATTTTCCAACAATATCAGATGTGATTTTTTCATCTTTATAAACTGTTAACACAGAGATATGTCTCGCCTATTTGTTATTTTGATAATGCATATGTTGAAATTAAAATAGCAATACTTTAACATGTAAGTTATGCAAATATTTAAAGTCAATGAACCATGACTGAAGGTACAGGGCTAAACAATATCCATGGAAATCAGATGTGCCAATGCTTATACAACTGCACACCAAATACCATTGACTTTTCATGTGTCGTTCTCTTTAAACAAACCTAAATACAAACATTAACTTGTAAACTATGCAAAAGTTTCAAAGTCAATAAACCATAATGAGGAGGTGGGGTTGTATAATCTCAGTGGAAACGAAACTTGCAAATACCAATACTTTTGCATACCACATATCAATGACTTAAAATTAATGGTTCATCTTAAACTGACCTAATCACAAACTAAAACATGTAAACTAAGAAAAAGTTTCAAAGTCAATAGACCGTGACTGAGGGGTAAGGACAAAATATACTCCATGGAAATGAGATCTGCTAATGATTATACAACTGCATACCAATTATCATTGACCTACCACTAACAGTTCCCCTTAAACTGATCTAATCACAAACTAATACATGAAAACTAAGCAAAAATTTAAAAGTCAATAGACCATGACAGAGGGGGCGTGGCCAAATAATCTCCATGGAAATGTAAAAACCCAATGCTTAAACAACTGTATACAAAATATCATTGACCTACCACTAGTGGTTCACCAGAAACTGACCTAATCACAAACTAATACATAAAAACTAAGCAAAAATGTCAAAGTCAATAGACCATGACAGAGGCAGTGTGGCCAAATAATCTCCATGGAAATGAGATATGCCAATGCTTATACAACTGCATACCAAATATCATTGACCTTCCACTAGTGGTTCCGCAGAAACTGACCTAATCACAAACTAATACATGTAAACTAAGCAAAGTTTCAAAGTCAATAAGCCATGACTGAGGGGGCGGGGCCAAATAATCTCCATGGTAATGAGATGTGCCAATGCTTATACAACTGCATACCAAATATCATTGACCTACCACTAGTGGTTCACCATAAACTAGACCTAATCACAAACTAATACATTGTTGACGCCGCCGTTGCCGCCGCAGCCGCAGCCGCCGCCGCCGACGCCGGAAACAGCATACCTATGTCTCGCTTTTTGACTCCGTCAAGGCGAGACAACAAAGAGGTACCAACGTGCAAAGGTTTATCTCTTTTAAAATCTCAACCATTTTCCAAACGATAGCTACAGATTTGAGCCGGGTTAACAGTAATAGAGAAGCAAGTCGTAATCATGTTCACTGACCATAACAAGGACGAAAGCACATCATATAAGTACGTTTTGACATCATATAATGAAGTAAACCGAACCACACCATATAAGGTTACATGCACATAATATAATGACACAAACACATCATATAAAGATGTTTGCACATAATATAAAGGAAAGTGCACATCATATAAGGATATTTGCACATCATATAAGTATTTTTGCACATTATATAAGTACATTTGCACATCATATAAGTATATTTGCACATCATATAAGGATATTTGCACATCATATAAGTATGTTTGCACATCATATAAGTATCTTTGCACATCATATTAGTACATTTGCACATCACATAAGTATATTTGCACATCATATAGGTATATTTGCACATCATATAAGGATATTGGCACATCATATAAAGATTCATATTTTGACAATTTTCCAACAATATCAGATGTGATTTATTCATCTTTATAAACTGTTAACACAGAGATATGTCTCGCCTATTTGTTATTTTGATAATGCATATGTTGAAATTAAAATAGCAATACTTTAATATGTAAGTTATGCAAATATTTAAAGTCAATGAACAATGACTGAAGGTACAGGGCTAAACAATATCCATGGAAATCAGATGTGCCAATGCTAATACAACTGCACACCAAATACCATTGACTTTTCATGTGTCGTTCTCTTTAAACAAACCTAAACACAAACATTAACTTGTAAACTATGCAAAAGTTTCAAAGTCAATAAACCATAATGAGGAGGTGGGGTTATATAATCTCAGTGGAAACGAAACTTGCAAATACCAATACTTTTGCATACCAAATATCATTGACTTAAATTTAATGGTTCATCTTAAACTGACCTAATCACAAACTAATACATGTAAACTAAGAAAAAGTTTCAAAGTCAATAGACCGTGACTGAGGGGTAAGGACAAAATATACTCCATGGAAATGAGATCTGCTAATGATTATACAACTGCATACCAATTACCATTGACCTACCACTAACAGTTCCCCTTACACTGATCTAATTACAAACTAATACATGAAAACTAAGCAAAAATTTAAAAGTCAATAGACCATGACAGAGGGGGCGTGGCCAAATAATCTCCATGGAAATGAGAAAACTCAATGCTTATACAACTGTATACAAAATATCATTGACCTACCACTAGTGGTTCACCAGAAACTGACCTAATCACAAACTAATACATGAAAACTAAGCAAAAATGTCAAAGTCAATAGACCATGACAGAGGGGGTGTGGCCAAATAATCTCCATGGAAATGAGATATGCCAATGCTTATACAACTGCATACCAAATATCATTGACCTTCCACTAGTGGTTCCGCAGAAACTGACCTAGTCACAAACTAATACATGTAAATTAAGAAAAGTTTCAAAGTCAATAAGCCATGACTGAGGGGGCGGGGCCAAATAATCTCCATGGTAATGAGATGTGCCAATGCTTATACAACTGCATATAATATAAATATACAAAGATATTTGAAAAGCATATATATACGGATATTTGCACATCAAATAAAGGTAAATGCTCATCATATAATGAAAATTGGCATAACATGACAATTTTCGCGTTCCATACCAGATGAAAATCATTTTAATGACCATAATACAACAAAATGAAAAAAATGAGTACAATAAGTAACAACTAATACAAGGTAAAAGTTTATCAAGATAGTTACATATCTACTACGACACTTCCGTCTTATACTTTATTCTTTGACAATTGATTCTGGGGACCGTCAAATTTCTCATCTACAAACAGAGAAAAAAATCAAAGTTATTTACTGAGAGTCTGTTAAACCTAGAACGGCTAAATGAAATTACATGTAATTTTTCTAATTTTTGAGGCAGGAATATCAACATGGGATGGGGTTTAAGAAGTTTTGAGTATTCCATTCTCGTTCGTACAACAGTGAAATAAGAACAGTTGTATAGGCTCTGGATGATTTAGAGCTGGTCATATTGTATGGATACCTGTCTTGTTGTCATATTGTATAGACACCTGTCTTGTTGTCATATTGTATAGATACCTGTCTTGTTGTCATATTGTATAGACACCTGTCTTGTTGTCATGTTGTATGGATACCTGTCTTGTTGTCATATTGTATAGACACATCTTGTTGTCATATTGTATAGATACCTGTCTTGTTGTCATATTGTATGGATACCTGTCTTGTTGTCATATTGTATAGATACCTGTCTTGTTGTTATATTGTATAGACACCTGTCTATTGTTAAAGACTGTATGTTGCTTTCTACACGTGTCGTTTGGTTATTTTTGTCGTTTGGTTGCTATGTCATAGACATACACTTCCTTCTTTATAGGTTACAAGAGCGCAATTATTTGTTTACATTTTACCGGCAAGTTTTTTACCCCTAGATGGTACTCAGAATAGAATCCTGTACGGCTTCTGATTGGATGATACAGAATTGGAATTACTTTTAATCGAAAGCTTATTCAATTAGGTTTAAAAAATCCAGAAAATCAAATTCACATTTTGCAAAGTATAGAAAATATCTTCCATTTCTGCACGTCGGGGCTATTAAAAATATGCCTTTTTCATTAAGCGAAAAAAAATAGACGATCTTTTTCAACTGCATTTTAAGGCAATTTTTGCCGCATGACCATATATATTTGTTTGGTTGTAATGCAACACTGGCATTTCTACTAACAGTAACTGCTACCCGTTTTTTCCTAGTTTATGTAGTCTTCGAGAAAAAAAAATGCGGAACACCACTGGTACCCTATGGAAAATGCATTACGAATAATTGCGCTCTTGTAACCTATAGTCCTAAGTTGTAGCCCACAGTTTTCTGTGTCGAAGGATTAAACTGTCACTATGCCCCCTGCTTCAATGCCAGTGGTGTTAAATAGATATATTCAATTGGACGTTTACTCACATGCCTTCTTACGCTTGTGTATTCAGAAGTACAATGAAAAATCTCAGTTGGGAAAAGTGTTTTTGATTTGTCGATAATGAATTTGGTAAAAACGTTCTAAACTAAGTTTGAATATACCACTTCTTTGCCGTCATCTTGAGAAGAATCATCCAAATTAAGGCTGTTCGAAAGATCATGCTTGAATTTGTATACTCAGGTTTGAAATGATAAACAATTTTTAACAACATGTTGATTAAAGATTTAAATACAAAAAAAAAATACACGTAGTTCGCAAATTAATCTGTTAATAAAAAAAGTCATAACTAGATGATAAAGGTCACAACATTAAACTATTACTTACCCAGCATTTCGGCTAAAATATTAAATCTATCAGAACCAAATAGCATTTCTTTTTCACCATTTACATGGACAATCATTGTTGGTGCCCCAAATGCCTGTATTATAAATATATATAACGTTAAAATGTCTGAAAGTAGTCAAATAATGATAAAAAAAATGTTTACAGTTGGAAAAGTTCATGGATGATTGTTATTTCAGGAGCGATTACGTTTAAATGAAATGATGCATGTCGCCATATAAGCAATTTATTCGAAGACAAAAGATATCAGCTACAAATGCTTATTCCCTTGAAAATTGAATAGAAAGATTCCCTTGGGGTAAGAATATCAAACATCCCTAACTGTAAGCATTATGAAAAGTAGATAAATTTAAACTTGTAGGGAGATGGTTATGTGGTTTCCATATTAAAGCATAAAGATATTTAATGAAAACAAATGAGGTATCAACTTATCTAAAATTAAAAAAAAATGATACTCCCTCTTTATCTTTGATGTAAACTTTCATAAATCTTAAATCCGTGCAAGTTATTCTATATATGTCATATTTTTACATTATTCAAAGGTATGCCGGGTAAAGTATCTCTAATTAACGTGTTAACGTATAACAAATCCAATGAGCCAGTGCCTCATCAACCGTTGACGTATAATCTACCCAATTAGCCAGTGCTTCATCAACCATTAGCGTATAACCTCCCATTAAATGACTCATCAGCCATTAACGTATATGCTCTTCCGATAAGCCAATGCCTCATCAACCATTAACGTATAACCCATCCCATTAGCCAACGCCTCATCAACCGTTAACGTTTAACCTTCCCAATTAGCCAAAGCCTCACCAGTAGTTTACCTTCCTCATTAGCCAAAGTCTCATCCGCTGTTTTTAAAAGCAAAAGCCTCATCCACTGTTTCTAAAAGCAAAAGCCTTCTCAGCCGTTTACCTTCTCCAATAGGCAAAGCCTCATCAGCGTTTACCCTCCCCATAAACCAATGCTTTATCAGCCGTTTAGGTATACCTTACCTATCAGACAATGTATAATCAATCACTTACTAAATATATATATATCAGCTTAACCAGTGCCTCATCATTTGTATACGTATACCTACCCCATTAGCCCGTGCCTCATCAGCAAAAGCTTGCAGTCTGTCAGCAACATCTTTGTCTTTTGATCTTTTTAATGCTTTTTTTATTATGTCGTCTTTCATTCCCGCTTTCTTTGCTGCCTGTATAAAGATTATAGCTATGATCAAATGAATATAGAACATGAAAAAAGTAAGTTTCCGTTTTAAAATAATCATCAGACATCATAATCTAAGCTTGTCATGAATTTAGAACGCATTTCAGAAGCATTTAAGAAAACTTGACATCTTGTTTCTTTCGTATTGTGTTATATCTCAGAGTATTGAATTGAAAAAATATAAATTGCAATTTTTGAGGATACGTAATGAGACATTATTCAAACATAAAAGTTTCCAGTTTCAAGTATGATAATCAAAAACTGACAAGTCATGGAGCGCTCATACACAACCCAAGTTAGAGCCAGTAATCGTACAGAGAAAAGAAACACCTCGAGAAGTGTCGATTCTCAAGTAACAAGCATGAACTACACTAGACTGGTACTCGGCCGTTATTGATAAGTTTGTTAATATTTGTATATTCCGAAAGCATACTGAATATTTTACGGAGGGAACCAACCTAGAACTACACATGCGGTATAATAATTAATCATTCCGATTATTGTATTTCATTTATAGTAGAATCTAAGAAAATACCTGTGTAAAATGTCCATCCTCTGTTATTCCTTCATCCTGAAGTTAAAAAAAAGCAAACCTGAATTGTGTTTAATTTTCAAGGCCTTGAACGCAGCAAAAAGCAATATGTGCACGCATTATGTCCTTTCAACAGCATTTCAACTTATCAAGTGGTTAATTAATGAAATATTTTTTTTCAAATTATATTTCATAATAGGACTTGAATTTATGTATTTCTGTCTTTACATTCATTAATTCATTAATGTGACTAAAACAAACGCGAAGAATCTAGATAGATACACAACATGCATATGAATATTTTCTCTTACTCTGCTCCAAACTCTCATCCAAAACTGGCGGGAAAGTTCTTCTGTGTATTCTGGGTAGTCCATATCTACTGCTGTTACAAACAACATGGCTGACTTGGAACCTTTTTTAAATATCACCTCCTCCGGATTCTGAAATAAATCTTGCTTTGATTCACGTTTTCTTTATATTTTGAAAAGAATAAAATTTATATAATATTACTGATTGAAATTATTTAAAAAAACGGGGTTTTTATTCCATTTATTTGATAAAACTTGTATAAAATTATATCCCAAATATAGAAAATTTAATGTTTTATTCGTCATTCAGGGAATTTTGTATTGATTGCAATTCTTGTATCAAAACTTGTCAATCATTGACGACCATATGCTGACCTTAAGCTTGATTTTTTTCTGTCATTGGATTACTATCTAATTGAAAATTCATCAAAGATACCGGGCTTATAATTTGATACGCCAGATGCGCGTTTCGTCTACACAAGACTCATCAGTAGCGCTCGATTCAAAACATTTAGAAGACCAAATAAAATACAAAGATGAAGAGCATAGCAAACTGAAAATTTCCGAAAAGTTGTGTCAATTCGACTAATTATTTGTACATCAATCCATTTTTTAAAGTTAATCCTACAGCTTTAAACTTGTTAAACGAAATTCATAATTTTAAAAATCATAACACTTTCAATTCGGAAAAATGTTTAACATAAATTAAAATACACCCGTTGGACTTAATCATTATCAATTTATGTTTAATATCTTATAATGAAGAGGAAATCAAATTAAATTGAAAACTATTGATTAACATAAAATGTTTTCCTTTTCTTTTTACTTACAGAAGGAATATTCATTGGGACTTGAGTGTGTTTTGCGAGTCTCATCAGATCTTTTCCTATGTATTGCATTTTGATTGGATTTACACCTGGAGGCTGATTATCTGCAATGATAGAAAAAGTGTAGAACAGTCGTATTTTATTGAGCGATTAGTTTACATTGGTCCAGTCGTTATATATTTTTCTTCAGACAAATATATAATGACTCATTGATTGTAATTTGCTTAATGTCCAGTGGTAAGTATTTCACGCATTTTCAGGACAATCTAAAGATAATGTAAGCAATTCATATATTAGTTTCAAGTATATTTTCGGAGCCGACAAGTCAGTTTATTGTTTTCAGATGCGTTCAATAACTTTTTTTTTTGTTGTTTAAAGATTTCTGATTCAATAAAGCAGTATCGTTTTTGTCATTATGAAAAATTGCAATTTAGATTTTAAAAAAAAATCTTTTAAGCCTTAGTATGGAATGTCAGTCATCAGCACATAATGGAATAAAGTTGGGTGCTTTGAGAGGAATTGATATTTGACTAATTCTAAAACCTCTTTAATTACCTGATGCCTTCATTATATCACCCAATGAGACCGGTTTCAATTTTAGGTCCATCTTCTTCCATTTAGATACATAACGGACCAGAATCTATTAGAATACAAATAATATTAGATTACACTGTAAACAGCACAAACTACTGAAAAGGCGTTCATATAGCAGAAAATGCATGAAGCAGATTTGTTACGATCTTTGTTGAATCTTTATAGACTGGCCGATTAATTTCTTAAAACATATTATACTCTTGGATTCATATATTTTCGTGGGAACTATTTTTCATGGATTGAGGAAAAACTGTACATTCGTGAATGTTTGATTTCATAGGTTTGCTAAAGTCTGCATACAAGCTTATTGAAAATTTATATTTCGTTGAACATTTAAATTCGTGATTTATCTTTGTCAACAAAATACACGAAAATTGGTAACCCACGAAAAACAATAAATTCACAGTAAAGAAACCTGTCTATTGTTGAAGATTATATGTCCTTATGTATTTTTGTTTCTTCGTGTATTGATGTGTTACTGTCTCATTGGCATGTAGCCATATCTCCTTTGATTCATATACAGTAATAGAGCGATAGTTTCAATGTTTATATATTAGGCAAATGTTTCAAAATTTGTTCGTACAGTTTTACTGCATTTGAAACATCAATATTTTTGAAACTTATTTGTTTTCATAACAGATTATGTTGTCTACAATGGGATCAAAGTATATTGAGACTTACTGGTGGAATGACCCATATCTGTGGTTACTTTTTAATCACTAATGAAGAAAACATTATTCCGGAGTTGCAAAATAAAGACATCTTTATTATTATGATCCGTACAGCTAGAGGTTGCTTATAATTGCTTACATCCACTGCATTTGAACTTTGGTGGATAGGTGACGGTATAGTTGTCTCATTGGCGACCATACCACATCTCCTTTTTCTTTTTTATATCAAAATGCTTTGGAGACACGTTGCTCAATGAAACACTAAGAAATTGAACATATAGTTGAATGAAGGAATAAGTGAATAAACAGATCTACATTCATCCATACTTTAATAAATGTTATATTACAACGAGTATGAAACTCATTAACTTCATAAGATGTTTAGACTTAAGGAAATTAAATAACATAGTGAGAAATACAAATTGTCTGATTATATTCATGTATAAAGATGTGGGGGATAAACCCAGGACGTTTCTCAGGAAATGGCTTGGTATCCAAAAACAGCAGATAGTTTGTTTACAATCTAAATCTGATCGTTTTTAAATAAACGTCTTGATATCTTATACATTACTTCATAGACATGGCACATAAACTATTTAAAAAAATGTTCTTTGTAAACTATAAAAATAATGTACTTTTTCACCGGATGTGGGCTGATTTGATAGTGAAATGTTATTTATTAAAGTATTAGTCCGCAGATCAATAATTAGAACATACCTACGTTTTCTGGTTTTATGTAGGTTAAATTGAACAATACTTAGTCAACTTTTAATAACATTTAAAGCCCAAGGTGGGAATATGTTCTAAATTAAAAACTGAAAAAAAACCAATGACTATACATAATTTCTAAATGATATTATGGGCTAAACGTTATTGTTGGAGATAAAATTGATACAATATTGCCTTTTAAACATTTTTAACCAACATGAAGTATATTATTTCCTATCTGAAAAACATAACATAGCTTTACTCCGATTAAATTTTCGTTTGGTTAAGAATAGCTTTTTATTTTTGAAAAAATACTCAAATCTGTCAAAACCCGTCGGAATTGCTCTTTAAGCCATTTATGAATAAGACAAATGTTCAGAAAATCGCCAGAATGCTATTAGAAACCCAAAAGATTGAAAGAATTTTTTGTAAAGGCGTTGTCGTGAAATAAGTTCAATGGAATTTGGTGCTCCCTATTTATGCCTGAGGTAAAGGTTCTATATATCTGCGGGCTCGGTTGTTGTGATGCCGCTGATAATAATAACCTCTAATGTACTTTGATCCCTATATCGTAGAGAATTCTATCCAACACCACAGATGTTTGTTGAGAAAAGAAATTCCTGTTTAATTCTAAGAGTCATCTACTATAAGTAAAAGTAGAGGGAAAAAATACCAAGTTTTGCAACTCTTCATAGTTGATGCTAGCTAACTGAGCTATACACATTGAAAATCCTAATATCAAAGGGAGATAATTTTGAAAGCTCAATAGAGCTAATACCGGTATCAAGCTATAAGCCGACAGTTACCCTCTTTCTTAACGGAATTAAAACACTTTTTTACAGTTATTTTATTTCACTAAAACTCCAAACCCCGAATAAAAACTCACCTCAAATCCGAACCAAGAATATGGAGATAATACATCGTAAAACAATTCTACTGTTTTCTTTTCCGACATTATTAAAAATTTAAATCTATTTTGTTAATTGATACGTATTCCCTCTGTTAGTACAACACATGAATCGTAGTGGATATCTACATTCTCTATTTGTATGTTATACGGTTGGGTAACGATCAATAATCTTATAGGATTAGGTCAATATATAGTGTTAATACCTGTCTTAAAACAACAAAAAGAATATGGTAGACAAAACAGCTAGAATCGTAGAATCCATCATATCGATAAAACCACTAAAAATAAAAAATCCAAATCTGAAGGCAGATATGACGGTCTTGTTTTCCCTCGGGGGGGACCTTTATTCATTCTTGAACTTTCTGATCATTTTTCTGTTGTTTTATTCTCTATTCTTTTTATTTCAGTACCCCGTTATTCTCTATTCTAATTTTTTTGGCCAATTTTCTCTATTCTTTATTTTGTTTGTCCTTTATTCTGCACTTTTTGCCAGATGTGGACATGGACCTGCATTTACACCCCAGTTCTATTGTTATACTTCATAGTTTCTATTTCTGAAACAAGTGTAAATTGAATAGATCTATTGTTACGAATAACAATGGATTTTGACCACAGGGTGTGACGAGCAGGGTTTCTGGAGACCCCTGCTTCTACATCCCGCAAACAAAGTCCATTGTTATTCGTAACAATAGAAATTGATTATTTTTTAAATAGCATGAATATAAGAAATTACTAATAGTGTTCACCACAAATTGTTTCATGCTATTAAAAAAAAACACATTTTAGGAAATTCCAATAAGCATCTATATGGAATACAAAAATAATCCTTTAAATACTATTTTGCTCTCATATGTCTCTATTCTAAATAAAATTGAGAATGGAAATGGGGAATGTGTCAAAGAGACAACAGCCCGACCATAGAACAGACAACAGCAGATCTTTAAAGAAAATGGGGATTCTAACTCCCGGACCCATCCCCCCCCCCCGGTTACCAAGTGGCCGATCCGGGGTTTGGGGTTCCGCGGGTTGGACCCGACTTTTATTTAAAAGATCAATGCATTTGAATGGTTGGACCCCCCTTTTTCTCTTGAGTTGGGAACCCCCGGCTGGATCAGCCCCTAATTGCCTCCCAAAAATGGGAGTTCCTCAATATTAAATATTGTATGTTGAGCGTGTCTGGTAGTCGAGTTTCTAATGCAGACACACCTATCCCTTAGAATGTTCGAATATGAATGTTTGTTTATTCTCGAGAAGAGGGAGAGGGGGCTTTTGTTTTTGATAAAATCGTAAAATATAAAATACAGTTATGATTACCTTTATTAAGCTGATACAGGTAAGTACTTTGGGTTATAATATTGCCTTTATCTTTAGTCTCTTCTACCAAATCCAACGCTTGCCACAAAATGTCGTCCGTCTTATACCCGTCCATATTGACAACTGTACACCAGGAGCATGATGTATTTTTTGTTTGTAACAAGAATACACGAAACAGTCAACCTTGACCTGCTGATCCATATTAGCACAAAGATTTAACGGGAATATGCAAAACAACTTGACATTTGTAAAATATACTCACTTGTCAAAGTTTGAACGAAGATAACCAAAGAAAGGTTACTAGTGGGGTTTCATGTAATAAAAAAATAATTCTTATAAATCATGGTTTGATATTGTCAATTAATATGCTATCGTTTTTTTTTTCATTAAATAATCAATGTTAACAAATATAGGGTTTAGAATGGGGTGTAAGTTAGTTATACACCTCGGGATACGGCGTGTCTGGATAAGAAACCCCTCCGGCCTCCGGCCGACGGGGTTTCTTATCCAGACACACCTATCCCTCGGTGTATAACTATTACAGATTACATAGTTGTCTTATCAGTTGAAGACATTTTTATTTTCAAGCATACAGCGCTCGGTCAAACAACATTCTGTATGTCTTAAATCCACGTCATTTGTACTATAATGGAAAGTTGTCTCACTGACAAGCATTTCAGATCTCCTAATTTCATATTCTTGCTATATGTTTTTAAATACGTACAAACGCATATTTAATTACCATAAATTACTTTAAAAAAAACGTTGAGCAAGCTCAAAGAACTTAATCTGCTTATATAAAACCATACAGCCCTACATTCTAGAGTTGATATCTTTACTTAGGAATAGATTTAACACAGAAAAATTATGATAGTGAAAAAAAAACACGACCTTGTGCAAAACCCAAACTTCCAAAGTAAATATGTGCAGATTTCCAATACAGAAAGTAATCACATCATGACTATAAAAAAGAAACGAAGATTGCAAAAGGGAGATACAAAATCGTTAGAGAAAGAAACACATGACTATCGACTAATTGTTGGTTATTTACGCCAACATGTAACATACTAAAATCTTCATTTCATCAAATATCAAAGGGAGACAAATCAGCATTCTTTGCTATATCATTGTGGCCAGTTTTTATTTGTGGAAGAAACCGGGGTACCCGGAGAGAATCACCGACCTTTGTCAGATCTGGAAATCCTAGTCAGTAGATCGAACACACAAACGACACTCCACAAAACACTATACAAAGATTGAGCAACACGATCTGGAGTAAACATAGGTGCTCTACAATGGCAAATAGTTCCTGCTCCACTAGTGGCACCCGTGGAAAAGGAAAAGAGAACGGTATTATCGTTACGACAAGTGAAATATATCCGTAGTCATCTGCGACACAGATATAAAAAGAGTCAATCAAATCATGATGTTGTCTGTAAAATTTCGAAGAGAATACTTTAAGAAAACCATTTAGGAAACACATTCATTGTTAGCACAATCATCTATCAATATATGATACAAAATCATAGGAAAGGGAAGCCCTGGAATGTCGAACAAACTGGGAGATGATATACACCATATGCAGGCACTACTGGAATGTCGCTACAGAGAAATGGAAAGTTTAAGATAATCTCTTTTGTCGTAAAATTAAGTACAAAACTGTCATTTTTAAAGTCATCATGTAAAGTAGATCATACATTATATGTCGTTTCCTTTAGCTGAAGTTTAATGAGATATATATCAGATCCACACAGGTGAGGACAGACTTCAACTTTAATATGTTGAAACGTAGAGCAAAATGAGAAGGATAGATTCAATCCATTCACTTTGAGAAGTCCTGCGTGTAATCTACCTTTTCAACGAATACAGCTGGTTCCCGTTGGAATCCCGCGAGAGTTTGATAATGTACATTGTATGAGCTCACTAAAAGTAATACACGTTTCCAAGAAAAGTATCAAACATCTTGATTTACAAATAAGTCTACCCAGCGCCGATCAATGATTTTAAACTGTATCAATTAGTCTATTAACCTAAACAGTTTTACTATATATTGTTTACTGGACTGTTATTTGTCTGTTCAGCATTTGTCTTTTGACAATGATGGTATTGTCTTTTTTCTTTATTTGACCTATGGTTTTAGTTGCTTACTTGGTAGCCTCTTAACTTTTTTGTGATGCAAGCTCGTGAAAGAGAAATATAAGACGTGACTGCAAATTCTTGTAAAACAAACCAACTGAGTACACGATAGAAAGAAGTCAACGGAAAATAACATTTAAGAAAAGGAAAATTATAATTTCAAAAAATTACTCTTATTGTCATCAATTTGGTATGAGGATTTCTATGAGATATTATAATATTCAGATCCAAATAAGTTTCATCAGCTACGCTCGAGACCTAACATTTGGTAAACCAATTAAAAAATCACGTAGAGCATAGAAACCAAAAACAGCCTGACCGAAGAGATAAAAGTGTATATAGTCCACCTTACCCTTGGGAGTTACAACTTCAGCTATAATCAATATATAAGATTGGCATATTGATTGCTTAAATAGATATAACATTCTTAGACAAATTTGCTGGCAGACAAGTCAACCTATCTGGACAAATTGTTCTAACAAGTCAGCCGAATTTTGCTCTTACCCTAAAAAGATGCATACTAAAAAGAGAGATTTCATCCGCGGCTAAGGATGGACCCCACAACTTTTACGCTACAACGATACCTTGGAGTCAGTATGATAGATTTTATCCATCAAAAGCATACATTCTATATAAAAATAGGTAGATGAGATATGATTGCCATTGAGACAACTATCCACCAAAGGTCAAATAAAGTGGATGCATGTAAGCAATTATAGGCAACCGTACGGCCTTCAACAATGAGAAAAATCCATACCGTATATTCAGCTATAAAAGACCCCGACATGAAAAATATGAAACAATTCAATTGAAAAAACTAACGACCTAATTTATAACAAAACAATTTACGAAAAACAAATACGACAGACATGAACTAACGACAACCACTGAACTACAGGCTCCTGACTTGGGACAGGCACATAAAGAATGTGGCGGGGTTAAACATGTTTGAGAGCACTTAACCCCCCCCCCCCCCCCCCCCCCTTACATGGGACAGTGGTGTAACAGCACAACATAAGAACAAACTATAAAAATCAGTTGAAAAAGGTTTAACTCATTTAACTCATCAGATCGATACAAAGCAGAAAAACATCAAACATAAACACAGACCGGACGTGGCAGGGTATTTATCCATCCCTCATCCCTAAAAACAAAAATGATACTAAGTACAGATATGAGAGTACTCACAGTTACTGACAGCTAGTTCATTATTCATTTACAATGTAACGTGTTTGATGCTGGATTCGAATAACGGGTTAAAAATGCATCTCCTGACGAGGCTCCTGGTGATTTTTTATAGTTGAAACGATCCTATTAGTTTCACTCCCATATAACGGCATCATGAATTTTGAACAGACTACACTAACTTCAAATGATTCATACTTATTCATTCGATTCGTTTTTTCTGCTTGCCCAATGCATTGAGCCTAAATGGTCTATTATATCCAAGTTAGTAACTTCCAGATCAGATATTTTGTTGTAGAAGTTACAAAAACAGTATGGGATATATTTTTTTCTGTGATGAACAGTTTTTCTTTCACTAAACATCATTTTGTTTATGTCCTTTACCAGGCTTAAGTAGAAATTAAAAACATATTTCATTTTTTTTTTACAAATATATATAATCAAATATAATAAAAATAATAAGAATTTGCATAGATATATTTTTCATATCAAAATCAAGGATACTTAAAACACATTATAAAAATTTTACAACAAATCAAAATTAGAGTTAGTCTTTGTATTGAACTCCAAAATCCTCGTCTTTTTCTTCATTCCAGTCACTTTCTGTATCCGCAGTTCTTGACAGAAAGTCATACAGCGTCCTTTTTGTTGAGATTTTTCCTAAAAAAAAAGTTATCAGCATTAAATTGTTACCTGATCCTACGGAATTACGCTACAAGTAACAGATCTCCCGTCATGTATAGTTCATTTAAACATTCTGATTTTTATAGCGGTGTATTCTTGGGCTCTTTTACAACACACAGTACCTATGTCTGTAAATATTGTGCCGTGCACATGAAGAAACTTACTGCACTATTTATATGCGTAGGTACTTGTGGAATCACCATTCAAGTGTGTCTTCTACTTAACTCGAATCATTATGCGCCCTTTAGTGGCCTTAAGCCTAACTTTTAATGTAGCAATCGGAGATCAGTCGTAGTTTGACAGAATATAAAGACTGACATTATTCGGGTTATTTTCTACTTAGCTTCCTTGAAAATTAAGGAAAGGCAGTGAGACATTCGCATTTACGTACGTAAAAGGTTTTAGCAATATAAATATTCTTCTTGTTAAACTATTTTTTATGTACTTATTCCAATTTATAAATCGGTTTCTTTGAACTCGAAATGAATATTCATTATTATCGTATTGCCTTTACGACATACATGTATAAGAATGAGATCAGTATATGGTACGCATATGGGTTTTGCTCATTGTTAAAGGCCGTGTGGTGTTCTGTGGTTGCTATCCTTCTACGTCGTGTAGTCTCTGGTGGAGAGTTGTCTCATAGGCAATCATACCACACCAATTTATTTCATATAGAAAAAATCATTACAAATTATTTCCCAAAATAAAACTATTTTCACTCCAGCTGTTATGGTATTTTAGTCAAACATACTAAGACTGATTTAAAGTGTTGTTATATTAGTATGTGATCCTAAACAGTTTGTCCGATATAAAATATATTTCATTCATGACTTACTACAAAGTGATTCTGAGGTGCAGTAACCAGGACATTCGGAACAAGGTTCACCCTTTGTATAAGGTTTCCCGAGAATCTTGTCCTTCACCATGTTCCCACTGAAAGAAAAAATATTTTTGATAAAAAAATATTTTAATAACCACTTTTTGAATTTGAAATAGTATTTAGAAATAAGTTTCATCCATTTGAATCAATAGTGTTTAATTAAATATCTTTCCACATTTTGAAATATAAAAATTTATTATATTTGACTTTTTCTGAGGCATCTCTTTCCCCCATTTCCCTTAAACGACAAGTTAATTTGAGATATGCTAATTGATAGTAATAATTAAATGAATGATAAAGAAGGAATGAAGGAATCACAGCAGTTGTAGTAAGTAATACCTAAAAGTTGTGTTGTTTAATTTTTTAATTTGACTTCGAAACGTGTGTATATAACTTAAAGATAACACCACTTATAAATATTGACGGTTTGATTTTTAAAATAATTTTTTACATAAAACTCCACTCTTCAGTTCCCCCATAAAAACATACGTACACAAATATTAAATCATGTACATTTTAGTGTTACACTCTTAATTTTTACCGGTCCAGATTCGAACGCCGGTCGTGTCAAACCGAAGACTTCTGAAATTGTTATTTGCTGCTTCTCCGCTAAGCACGTGACATCAAGGAGTTCGAGCAAATACTGGTCGGCTCGGAGTCAGAATAGTGGGTCCCGGTAGGGTGACATGTCTTCATGTGTAATTTTACCTTGTGAACTAGCACATCAGAAATCAGTGTCGGTTTAGTAAAAACCAAGGTTAATATTCAAATCGCATTAACGTGTTCTCTTTCTGACTATGCAATGAATTTTGCGATGGACGTTAACAGTCGCTAATCATCATCTTTATTAGGAATTTTCGGTCGTCAAATATTCGCAATAGAAATTAGTACAATAAATTCTTATGTATAAACGATGCAATCTATGAAAATTAGTATAAGAATTTGCAGGCGACATTGCGTAATAACTTGGTCTATATGTACTTACGCTGGAGAGTAGTTACATACTACAAAATATGAGTTTGTGAAGCTGGTGCCAATCACTTTATTACATTTTCGTATTCCACATCCTAATCGAGATGATTTGGCCCAAACAACCTGCAATGTATTATACAAAGAATATATTTCATACTTTGCTTCAAATCAAAGAAGCGTCATATATAGAAAAAATGAAGTTGATTTCAGAAAGTAGATAATATCAGATTATTACATGGCATTTTTCATATCAGATGTATTATCAGCCCAAGGTCCAATATTAGCCCAAGAGCCGAACTTTTCATTTTTTTATCATATACTTAGAGTAAATAACTTATGATTTTTACATGATGATTATAGCATTTAATTTACGTGAATTCCATATTTTCCGAAATGGTGCTTAGCGGGCTGATATGAAAAATTTATCAACATCGCATGCCTTTCCGTAACGTTATCGCATGGCATTCCGACGTTACTCGGCAAATTCCGGAAAACACACCTCAATGGTACGTTTACAGTGAAAAACAAAACTAAGTAGGGTACAAAACAAATATTAGGAAACAGGAAAATATATTATGTAAAATGCAAAACATTTGATACAATAAATGCATTTTTTAAAGTTTCCAGCATGATTTAGCAAGTTACTTTACAAATGTTGACTTTTCCAAACAGTGTCCATTGTGTTTTGTTGATTTTTTTTTATCGTCTATATAAAAATTTATCCCCTGCCTAGTATATTTCTAGGATTTTGATTGGTTAACGCACGTCGTTACAAAACCCATAGCCCCTGGGTGTTGCTAACCCATATACCCGGACGTTGCTACCCATTACAACGGGGAACATCACGCGCGTTTTCCTTAGTTCCATGGTTGTTCCTTGTGAAATATCGAATTCTGTAGATTATCCATGATGTCTGTAATTAAATATTTGATCCACTAACGGTTTTATCTTATTATATCGATTATTTGCACTCATTTTAGTAAATGCATCACTATGCAGCCACATTGTCAATGAATGGTACTACTGACCTGCTAGCTATGCAAATGACCCACGTTGACGTCACACTGTTAATGATGTAACTGCGCCTCAGGGTGTACTTGGATACTTCAGGGTGTTAAAATATCCATATCTACGGATATGAACGTAGATAACTTATAATATTATACTGTTGTTTTTCTCCTCTGTTGAGGCATATGATAGAAAGATTTCATATCGGATGTATTACATTTGGCGTCCGTCGTCCGTAAACTTTTCACTTTTTTAACTTCTACTTGAGAACCACTTAAAAGGATAAATAAATTAAACTGGTTTTTTTTCTCCATTGTTGAAGCATATGATAAAAAAATCATAACATGTCATTTTTCATATCAGATGTATTATCAGCCCTCGAGCCTTCAACTCTTGGGCTGATATTGAACCTTGGGCTGATAATGCATCTGATATGAAAAATGCCATGTAATAATCTGATAATATATTCATGTTTGATATTTGCTTATGACACATAACTGTATAGGAAGATCTGGATGGGTTTTACAGAATAGAGAATAATGGCCTATAAATAATGAACAGTGAATAATGGGGTCCAAAGTGTAAATAATAATTGTGGAAAATAAAAAAAATTGGGCAATACATTACTGATTACAGAAATGAACGATGTAAAGAATATAGAAATAATCTAATTACAGAAAAATTAAATGGTAAAATCATGTTCATAAGAAGTTTACAGAATAAAGAGCAATTTAAAAAAAATAATGAAAAATGTCCTACAGAAATTAAAGACGCCCCCACCCAGACCCTCATATAGATGATTATGTTTAATTTCAAAATTTCAAAAGGCAAGGTCAACTGTAAAAGGGGAGATATTCCTTTGTCGTAATATGCAGGGATTATCAAAAAAATATTCTAGTGAGAAAACGAGTTAGCTAAGTTGTTTAAACGACTTAGCTAAGTCGTTAAAACAAGTTAGCTAAGCTGTTATAACGAGTTAGATAAGCTAAGTCGTTATAACGACTTAAAAATAAAACTCCACCATGACACTAACTGGCTTCCGTAGGAAGCTACTGATTTTAAGTGTAGAATACATTTCTCTAAATATAATAGTCAAAATGCATGTCACTCAGTCTATACCAAGATTTAGAGCTTCAGAGTAAAATACGTGTACTAGGTTGATAATCATTACTTGATTTTTTTCTCTCTATTCACTGTATATTATGACACACGATTTAAAACAAATGTTTAGAGGAGATAAAATACAAACAAACATATCGACACGTTTATAAAAGTAAGGAGATGTGGTATGATTGTCAATGATACAACTATTCAACAGAGATGGTAAGCCTTACGGGTTTCAACATTGAGCAAAACCCGTATCGTATAGTAAGTAATATCAATAACAAAATATGAAACCATTCAAAAGAGAAAATTATCGGTCTGGTAAATGCTATAACAATAATCAAAAGCACACATTGCATAAAACAATCTTCCACAAACAATGAATTACAGACTCCTGACTTGACATATCCAATTAAGACATCACATGACTTTGATGACGTGGTAATCCGCCATCTTTAGTCAAGTCGTCTCATAAAAATTGCATAGGCCCGTCAATAAACTTTAAATCCCACCCGTTTTCTATCTTTCTGATGTTCGGACATAATTCTTTCTAAAAATGTTGATCCTGATAGTTTAAATTTATATTAAATTACGCCCCTGATCAATTGTTATATGGCATTCTTTTTCTCGTCGTCAGCCCGTTATATCTATTGTAAAATTGGCAGCCCCACGTCCACTAATACATCAATTTCACAGTTTCCTTAAATAAAAGTAATGCTTTGCGGTTATATTGTGATGCCTGAGATCTAGCACTACACGCTATTTCTAACAGTTTAAATTGAACTACCTAATCTATTGAAAAAATGATTTCAAAATGCCGGCCGTGTCCAGAACAAAGGCATTTATCCAAAGTTACTAACCTAATATTTTAAGACTGCCCGTTGAAAAGTTAAGAAATTATTCAAAAAACTAGAATTCCAACTCCCAATTTTGGTCATATTGCTCCTAATGTTTATACGGTCCGTGTAACACTTATCAATTAAAAATTTCAAAAAGTTTTCAAATTTTAGTTTTTTTGATTTTTGATAGAAGTTTTATAATATCAAAATTCCAAATTTTTTATTTTTTTTAAATTTTTTTAAATTTCACCAAATAATTAAAATTTTAAAATTATAAACTTCGTTTTAAAACTTAATTGTTTAGATATTTAAGCAAACTTTAAAAATACTAAACTGAACGTTCAGTTTTGATCATTTCGCTCTTTGAAAGTTTGAATTTTTTGATTTTTGATTAAAATATAAGAAACTCGGAGGGAAAGGAATAAAAAGTGGATACCTGTTACAAGTGCGAAACGGAATAAGATTGGAAGGAAACGAAATGAAATTTACCAAAACAAATCAATACGAAAACAATATTTTCTGAAAAACTAAATATAATAAAAATTATAAAACAAGAGGCTAACTTGTGACCTACCAAATTACTCGTTACCGGGTTTGTAATAACATGAGCAACTCGACGGGTGCCACATGTGGAGCAGGATCTGCTCACCCTTCCGGAGCACCTGAGATCACCCCCAGTTTTTGGTGGGGTTCGTGTTGCTCAGTCTTTAGTTTTCTATGTTGTGTTTTGTGTACTATTGTTTGTCTATTGGTCTTTTTTCTTTTCCAGCCATGGCGTTGTCTGTTTATTTTCGACTTATGAGTTTGAATGTCCATCTGTTATCTTTCGCTCCTTTTTTGTTTGATCTACAGGGTGAAGAGGAGAAATTTATGGTTCTTTAAGTCTAAAAAATAATTAGTAAGACCTGATTTTGACACACTTTGATTCTCTAACTAAATGAACAATATGCAGAAATCACTTGTCGGCTTTGTGATTACCCCTATTTTTAAATAGCGAATAAAAGGAAACGGGATATTCGATTTTTGAAATAAGGGATAGTTCCGTATTTGTTATTTGCACTCTTGTAAGTTATCATGCGACAATCAACTTTGAGCAAAATACAAGAACGCAGCCACGTCCAGTCAGAATGGGGCGTGTAGAGAGAGTGCCACCGTTACATCAATTCTTTGAGTGGGTCGTTGATTGCAAAATTTGTCCCTATTTAATTTATCCTTATTTTCGAGTAGCGATCTAAATTTGCCGACCTTCATCCTGAATGGACTCCATTACATGACCTACCTATTGTATTAATTGTTAATTTGTTATAGTCCTGAACATGCATGAAATATTTGCCACTGGCAACTAACCATCAATCATTTAAAATAGGCCGTTTATATATAAAGTATAAAGAAACTCAGGTTTCAACTCAATCGGGCAAAGTTTCTCTTAGATGGATTTTTCTATTCTTAATGTCCCTTTTGGCCATACACCTCTTCAATTGTTTCGGTTCTTAAATTTACTTGGCTCTCAAATATTCAGCTTTGAGCGTTCCGGATGTAGGTAAATACAGAAAAGCGCTTCGGACGTATGTAGTCAAGTGTTGTTTGAATTTTTATTGGATATTCCATTCACTTCAAATGTTATTGTCAACGGGAAATAGTACATGGGCAGATTAAGGTATTGTTACTGTAATCTAATTTATTGCGGGGAGTTCTCTTTTAGTAGAAACTTTGTTATTATGTTATATTTTTCACTGCTATTCCTAAGTTTTCTTATCCCTATTTTTAAAACTCATGAGTTCGCCTCTGTAGTATGTACCAATCATTGTATTATTGACAATAAGTACAAAGTTAGCATGAGATTGAATTGAAAAGATTATGAATCCCCTGTACTCGATCGGTGCTAAAGACCGTTTTAAAAGGCAACCAGAGATTTCTTAAATATAGTAATACTGCAAGGTTATTGTAAAATATTTTCAGTACAGAAAATTAGCATTAAATCGAAAAAGGTTAAATTTGATCGATATTGAAATATATTTTGCGACTGCATGGGAATATATAAGGTTGCACTTTGTAAATACAGATGTTTCACAAACCACGCCTCTTTTGTGGAGATATTCATGGATAAGGCACTCTCTCTACACGCTCCATTCTGACTGGACGTGGCTGCATACTTGTATTTTGCTCAAAGTTGATTGTCGCACGATAACTTAAAAAAGTGCAAATAACAAATACGGAACTATCCCTTATTTCAAAAATCGAATATTCACTATTTAAAAAATAGCAGTTATCACAAAGTCGACAAGTAATTTCTGCATATTGTCCTTTAAGTTAGAGAATCAAAGTGTGTCAAAATCAGGTCTCATTAATTATTTTTTTAGACTTAAAGAAACAATTTCTCTTTTTCACCCTATAGATCAAACAAAAGAGGGGCGAAAAATAACAGGTGGACATTCAAACTCATATGTCGAAAATAAGCAGACAATGCCATGACTAAAAATGAAAAAGACCAATAGACAAACAGTAGTACACAAAACACAACATATAAAACTAAAGACTGAGCAACATGAACCCCACCAAAAAACTGGGATTGATCTCAAATGCTCCGGAAGGGTAAGCAGATCCTGCTCCACATGTGGCACCCGTTGAGTTGCTCATGTTATTACAAGTAATTCGGTAGGTCACAAGTTAGCCTCTTGTTTTATTATTTTTATTATATTTAGTTTTTCAGAAAATATTGTTTCAAAAAACTTTCAAAAAGCGAAATGATCAAAACTGTACGTTCATTTTAGTATTTTTAAAGTTTGCTTAAATATCTTAACAATTACGTTTTAAAACGAAGTTTATAATTTTAAAATTTTAATTATTATATATAAAATTTTGGTGAAATTTTCAAAATTTAAAAAAAAAAAAAAAATTTGGAATTTTGATATTTTAAAACTTTGGTCAAAAATCCAAAATACTAAAATTTGAAAACTTTTTGAAATTTTGAATTGATAAGTGTTACACGGACCTTTCTACGTATTCATACTTCCCTAGCTTTCAATGTTAACCAGAAAAGCGCTTCAGACGTACGAACTTCATGAAGTGTTATTTTCATTTAAGAATTGAATGCTTCTTTTTGTAAATTCATTGGGGTGTAAAAGCGTTGACCGAAGTACATTTTGTATGAAGCGCGGAAGCGCTTTATTCTAAAAATGTACGCACGGTCAACGCTTTTACAACCGTATGAAATTACTAAAAGAAGCATTCAATACTTATAATTACATTTTTTCGCTATGATCATGAAAAGACGATTACTATCAAGTTTTTCTTTTATTTACCTGTGCATTATATTGTGGAAACGTGTGTCATCATGTATGTTTCAATTTATGCAATTCATTTTGAAATGAAGAATGACGCGAGATTGCTGTTAGCCAATCAAAATAACGTATAATAATGAAAAATACATTTAATGTAATTATTTTCTAATGTTCAGTTCTTATACAGTTTGAAATATACATAAACTTTCCTATAATATTGTTTCGAAAAATAATCCGTGAACAGATTTTGTTGGTTGCTGATATTATATTATAACACTTGCATATATATATATATTAATTTGAAGTAATGGCAATTAAAATGGGGCGTACGCCCTACGCCATCCTTCATCCGCAACATTTTTTTTAAACAAGGAGAGTTTCTCGTATACTATACAAATTTTCTTCACACTATCAACATCTTTGTATTTATTACCTGTGTAAAGTGACCACATTTCTTAATGCAATCAGAAGAGCAATGGTTGTAATTATAATATTTTTTTTCGTTGTACCAAGAATTAACAGCCTGGCCAATCACCTTATAGATGTCTTGTGCTGAAATAAAATGGATCAAAATTTTATTTTCTGATTCTCGCTTTTCCCTATGAATGTTTTTCATAGAGCTTTCATACTTTTGTGTAAAATCAAAAGAGATTTTGTAACAAGAGCATATATTTACCATGTCTTAGTAATGTTTATTTTTGAGTCGGATTATATTGATCGACAATTATCCGGCTTATTTGCACAGTTTGCATTGCAATCTATGGACAAACTTGCATTCAATAAACAAAATGGGCAGATCTTTATGACAAAAACATACGAAAAGTTAATAGTTTCTTATCAACGCCACTTTAAAAAGGCATTGTAAGAATCCGTACTGATTGATATGTCAATTCCATTACCTTTAAAGATACTATAAACGAAAAAGGAAGAATTACTTATTTGGATAAAACTGAATGATTTATATTGACGGAAGTCTGAAAGGTACGGAAGCCTGTTAGTGTCAGGGTAGAGTTTTATTTTTAAGTCGTTATAACGACTTAGCTAACTTGTTATAACAACTAAGCTAAGTTAACTACAGAAAGGTATCATTTTAAATACTTTGAAATACAGTTAGGAAAGCACGTAAAATGAATACTTTTTATCAAATATTATCATTGCTAAATATAAAGCATGTATGATTGACCGGTTCTTGGTAAGCTTACCTGAAGAAATGAATAGATTTTCTCCATATTTACTACTACTGTGTTGCCATTTGCATTGATCTGCCCATTTTTGAGCAACATTGGCTGCAGTGTAATCCCATCTCTGAGAATAACAAAAAATCATGTATTTCAAAAGATAACTTGACATTAAAATCCTCAACGATTCAGAATAATCTGAAGATTTAATTCAAATGAATATATTTATTTCATACAAATCCAGAAACCATTATTTAAGTGCACTTGGTTCAAAGCCTTGATATGTAAACATATGAGAAGCGCAAAACTAGAAACTGTCAAAATAGAACATCGGAGAACAGCTAAACTCCACTATAAAAAGATTGGAAAATAGCTTTTTAGCCCCAAAAAATGCAATTTTTCGAGAGTTGAAATTGTTATGAGATCTCAATAAAAAAAAAACAGTCATTCTTACCATTTTCATCATATCAGCAGCCCGATCTTCTTTAGCCGTTTTACTTCTGCATTCATTGTGAAGCTTTAGCATTTTGTACTTCATACATGTCACTGCGCAAACAAAACTAAGGAGTATTAACGTACAGGAATGGTGAAACATCCTTTAATTTTGTTGTAATTTTGTCGGCAGATTGACATGCTGCGGTTTTTATACCCTACAAGATACCCTGGTGAGAGTTTAATTAGAAATCCCATGGATCCGATGTTACAGACTCCAGGTGATTAATGTTTTCATTTTATTAAAAAAATGTTTACGCACTGGAAAATTATTAATATTTATCAAGGTTGTACATCTAACGGATGATAATAAAAAATGGCCGCAATCAGAAAACTTTAAGGGTGTTTTGAAGTGTTTCTATAATATTGTTGTACATTGTTATGTTTTACGATATTAACGATTAATTCATTGTCATGCTCGTCCTTTACCTAATTATTCCCATAAGCCTAAAACTTATAGCAATCTGGTATTACAATTTATCAATATAAACTTCATATCAAATATTAAATAAAAACACATTGCTTTCCCTATTGTTATTTTTCTTTCCTCGGTGATGATTTCCGTTGGCTACTTATTAGCATGAAAGTATACTATTCTCAGTTGTTTCGATTTGAACGTGCTTATATTTAGTTTATATCAATTAACATAATAATTAATAATAATTTTCTGCACTCTCTATAACGATGTTTTTGTGTTAAATCTGCTTGGAAGTGCAGCAAAAATTGTGATGGGATAGGTATCCAAAAAATAAAAAACTCGCATTTCAAATTTGAATAGCATTTTTTTGTATGCAGCATTTTCTGATATTGAAATTATTAATCTCGCATTTTTGTGTATTGCTTAACAATCGCAATAGTAAATTTACACACGTTTTTTATCAATTTAAAGTATAACTACGAGGATTTTGAATAGTATTGGTGTACCTATATCTATGTTGTGGTCGTTTTATATGCGGTTTGTTTTTCAAAGTTTTTTTGTTATTCAACTTATCAATATGAAAACGAGGCAAAATTGTTATCGTTAATGTTATTATCAATTAAGACTATAGATGATTGTATTATGTAGTTTGGTCCCATCTCATTGACCTGACTTCTCCTCTTCTTTATAAGTTAATCAAAACATTTTTTAGAAATACCGAAAAGAAATTGTAAAGGTTAGGGGCTCTTTTCACACAAAATCTTACGACTAAATCTGATCGTAAGCTATACTGAAATTTGATGACTTACGAGTATTTCTACTCGTAAGATTTTTGGTGAAATGAGCCGCTGGTCTTTATAAAGCCAGCATGAACAAATGACGAAGAGAAATAAGTTATGGTAAGGTGGCAGAAATCATTTATCTATACAATTAAATGAGAAGACCTCATTTTGTGTGTCGCTTCTCTTCCTTCTACATTAAATCAATCATCATGCTTTTATGTCCTATAGGTACCATGCATAGTCGCATTTGTCATCCTCGCTTATAAATATTTCGTTTGGGGTTTTTTTTGTGAGAAAAAACGAAAACAAAGACGTCCGGATATTGTTTCCGTCCTCGGACTGACTTTTAAGTCATAGATAAGTCTTCCGTTTAGGACTTAAACTTACACATTATTTTCATAGGTACAAGGGGACAGGACAATTATTTTCGCGTTTTTCTGTATACTATGAACAAACATACATGTATACTGTATAAATACATTGTATTTGCTATTTGCTATCAATTCCAAGTTTAATTCCAGGGATTGATAATAAATACCAAATAAACTGTATTTATATAGTATATGTTATTATGTATGTTCATAGTGTACAGAAAAAAACGCTAATATAATTGAAATTAACAGAAAACAACAAAAAAATTGCGGACTTTGGAAAAAGGGGGAGGGCTCAAAAAATTGTACTGTCCCCAAGTACCTTTGACTTTTGATAACTTTCCTGAAATACCCCAGTCATAAAATCTTTTACAAAAATTCATCCTACAACAGTTTACATTACATCAACAATGCTCTAAATGCCCGCGATTTCGCGGGTGTGTTCTAGTATTAGAATAAAGTATAAGAAATTTCATTAATTTATGATTTAGCTGTTTTGAAAATTAATTCAAGCAAATATGCAAAAAAAGAGTTATGTTTCGGGTAACTAAGGTATGCCACCCCTTAAAAATGCAGTACAATAATCAAGAATTTACGTTCATTCTTATTTTTGTCCACATGATGCAATTGATGACCACAAAACTGGTACCTGCCACCGAATTTACACGCGTCTTTATTGGAAAGCATGTGCCGTTAAAGCTATTAGTCGTCTTTTGTTCTGCAAAACATTTTACAGATGACCAACACGAAATATATAGTTTTTGTTGAAGAAACTTCCAAAGGAATAATTTGAAATTTTAGTAATTTTTTCCAATAAGTGCTTATTCTTAATATTGAAAAAGAAATGCGTTTTCATTTTGGCTATAATGACAGATTTATTTCGACAATACATTTGCTATGATACGGAAATCTCTATAGTTCTGTAATATATATTTCTTGTATTGTGTGATATAATACTAGGATTTGTAACACACATATTGATGAATATTTTACATTTGATATGACAGACGTCTCTCGTAGAAATACCGTCTATACGACAGTTTCAAATAATAGTTCACAGAGTCATGTGACATTCCAAATAATCATTGCTCGACAACTTTTAATAACGTTGTATACAATTGCTGCACAGCAATAATTATCCTTTATATTTCTTTTCATATTTGAAAATTGAAATATTTCATTTACTGAACTTTCACCTTATAATCGTTCATGACCTTCAATTACCAGACACTTGTTTATGTAGTTTTTTTCTAATTAAATGACAACGTCCTCTAAATGTTCCAGTCTCACGAGAAGAACACTAACGTGATCTAACAAAAAGTTTTAATATCTCAAGCAGCGACATATTAAGCTGTATACTGTCACTGAACTTCACTAAAGTTAATTGGTTTTTAAAATGTTTACATACTTTTTTAACATATATAATCTTATTTTTCAATAGAAAGTGAAGAAAGTCATAATCACTTTTGGTTGTCTGTCGTTTATTCTTTTTTTTGAACGAAAATACCCGTTTCATATAATAAAGATAAACCTTTTCACATAATGTCTATATATGCTGATTTCCCCCCATATATCTGTTATATACCACCAGTATGATTGATTTCAAATACTTAAATAAGGACAACGGAAATTACTTAACCTTGCTTAACATTTATCTGTATAAAAATTGTACAATGTTTATCGCTTATGCATTATGATGTATTCGGATATCTTGTTAAAAACCAGGTCACTGTAAAATAAATCGTATCTGAAAAATTATGTTTTTATTCAAGTTTTTAAATCCTATTTACTGTTCTATTGTTTTTTTTAACATTCATGTTTAACATATAAAAATAAAAAAGATGTGTTATGATTGCCAATGAGACAACTATCCACCAGAGACGAAATGACGTAGAAGTTAGCAGCTTTCAACCATGAGCAAAACCCATCGAACAGCATAGTTAGCTATAAAAGGCCCCGAACAAACCATTTAAATCAATTCAAACGAGAAAACTAACGGCCTGACTTATGTACAAAACAATAAAAGAAAAACAAATTTAATATACAGCAACAAACGACAAACAGTGAGTTTCAGACTCCTGACTTGGGACAGGCACATACATAATGTGGCGTGGTTAAACATGTTTGCTGGCGCCAAATCATAGGCGGATACAGGGGGGGGGGGCCTGCCCCCCCCCCCCTTTCGTGGGAAAAATTTGGTTGATTATATAGGGAATCACTGAAGCATGACTGGAGCGCCCCTCCCCCCTTAGGTCAGTTAGCGGGCCCCCCTTTATGAAAAGTTCTGGATCCGCCACTGCAAATGGATTTTGTTTTGTTTTTGTTTTGTTTTGTGACTTCTTGTACTTTACTTGCTGGTTTTCCCGTTTGAATGGTTTTACACTAGTAATTTTGGGGGCCCTTTATAGCTTGCTGTTCGGTGTGAGCCAAGGCTCCGTCTTGAAGACCGTACTTTGACCTATAATGGTTTACTTTTATAAATTTTGACTTGGATGGAGAGTTGTCTCATTGGCACTCATACCACATCTTCTTATATCTATTGATTGCTTTGATGTGTACGAATTATTTAAGATTTAAGGATATTCTTCACTTCATATGAAATATTTGTCTCATTCTGCGGGTTCTGTGGGAATTTTAAGTGGTTGTGACTAGTTAGATATCTGTATATTATCAGAGAAATGAGCTTGGTTTTTGTTTCGTATTCCCTCCGTAATTGTAGAGCAGCGGCATATACAGACTTAATTAACCGGTTAGTAAATACGGAAAGAATTGCGGATTCAATTCTTTTACATATGCGGTTATAGTTTTTTTCGTAATTTATTATCTAAACAACTGGATGGGTACAGAGTTTTATACGATCATTGTACATGTTGGTACACATGGTATTGTTAGATTTGAAATATGTGAGATGTGTTGGTGACTTAATAATGTATTTGTACATCCCATCGCCTTTTAAATTAAGCTCAACTCTTGATCCTTTCTTCTTTAATTCATCGACCTGTTGATTTTGATTATAGATGTTTTGTTTGTGATGCAAACCGAACTGATACACATGTCAGAACTGATACACATATGTCAGAATAATACACATATGTCAGAAGAGAACAATTAAGTTGATAGTACTAGTAACACCCTTAAACCTCGAACAAAGTATTAGAATCCAAGTTGTGATTTTTTTCCTTCCTTGTTGAAACTACATACATTCACAAAAGGAGTGTAGGAACACATCATTGTAAAGAAAAAAGAAAAAAGGTCAAAACATGGCACAAAATCCAACTTAATATTAGGGCGATATATAAACCATAGAAACAAATTGAATCATGTGTATAACCGATAGTTTTCGAAATCATGAACATGGATTGAAGGACGGGGTTAAAATAATTTAAAGACAAATGAAACAATTCCGTAATCAGTTTTTACACAGATATTAAGTAACAGCCAAATCAAGTCATTATAACGTTCTAAAAAAACTTTCGCAAAGGTTTAGAAATTACTACAAATACAAGCATCTTGTTCTTGTTCATTTCAGAGAACGAATTTTGTTGGCTATCCATTTTATGAAGCAATTTTCAACGATATGTTTAAATCTATCTCAACTTGAAATTATGGAAAATCTACGGACTAGATTTTGAGAAAGAAATATATCTTTCACATGCTTAAATTACATTTTATAGTCAAATTACTTCAGCATTTCCATTCAACGATATTTTAGCACACACACCATGCCAGTAAAATAAATTATTGCTGGAATTTCATTCAGCGATCATGATTGTAATAATTCAATACACAATTGGACAAAAATGTATGACGCAGGCCATTTACTGTGCCTTGAGTTTATTTAGTTTCATTATTACCATTGAACAGAGTTTTAAGAACCACTTAGTATATGATATTCTAAAATTAAAGGTGTGACGCCTGACAACGTCTACATCTTATATATACGTCGTGTTTATCGTCACAAGTCACGTTACTCTGGAACTCCTTAAACCCTGAATCAGCCAAGTATGCACACATTCTTCAGCAGGGCATGGTGTTGTGCATTTTCTATGTTTATATTTGGCGGAGTGATTTTTCGGGTTTTTCATATCTAAACAAGATTCTGCAATTTCTGTTTATATATCGGAATATTATATATATAAAACAAATCAAACACTAGGAGTAAAAACAACAGGATGGTCAAAAATGAAGAAAAAAAAAGTACACAAAACAAACGTCTACAAAACCATAGAATGTGAACTAAATATGAAGCACAATACAAAACAAATGGGAAAAAACATACACGTGGGACAGGGAAAAGCATGTTGCTCCTCACGGATGATATGTTGTTTCTTCATAACTTGCTTGTGACAAGTAAAATATGCAAAGTCTTATTCGATGAGTCATTTATGAGAGACGAAAGTATAATAACTCTGGAAAAAAATCTAGCAAGACCGATACACAGGGAAAAAAAATAATACTGAAAACAAAAATTGTCTTCAAGTAGAAATTATATATATTGCTGCAAATGAATTTAACATATTTGACCTAGCTAAATATAAATATATAAATCTACACGTATAATGCAAGCTGTAAGCTGAAAAAAAGATTGTATTGCTCATATTATACAAATCCATAAGATTTACTTAGTTTGTTTACCGTTATATCAATGTTTATTTCCATTTATGGGTCACAATGTTGCCACTCGGTACTACTGTAATGAATCACACCTATTTTGATCTCGACAATTTCAATACCTGAGATCATTTGTAAAATTCGCTAAGAATTAGTCCCTATATCTATGCCAACACGTTATGGGTTATACATGTAAGCTTGAAAATCAATCGTATATCTTTTATCAGAAAAACTCCTCCACATCATGCAGCATACACGAGTCATCAAAATCACCTCTGCAAGGAACAACAACAAAAAAAGGAAGTAAAAGATACCTGAATGGGAGAATATCGTAAACTACCTTCAATGTGAAAGAAAATCATTCAAACTATATAGATATACGTACGATTGGGATTGAAAACAGATAGAAAATTAAGTTCTGCGATTAGGACCGACAAATGACTAATAAAATTGAGAATGGAAATGGGGAATGTGTCAAAGAGACAACAACCCGACCATAGAGCAGACAACAGCCGAAGGCCACTAATGGCCTGAATTTGGCCCTGTTAGTCGTCGCATAATAACGTAGCTGCATAGAAAATAAAAAATGTTGCTGCTAAGCTTTTGTGATATATTGTATTAACGGCAGCTACTATCATGCTGTTACTATACACTAGATATTAATCCATTTTTTTTTAAATAGTTTTCATTGGATGATGAACACTAAATGATAAAATAAAATCTCAAGGCATATTTCGACTATCCGGTTAGGAAAAAAGTAGAGAGCAAAGAAAGTTCGAATAAGCTATATCATAAAAAAATTATATAATATGTCTACATGATCTGTAGTGTATTCTGCAGTAATCGTCATCAGTAAACCTGAAATGAAAATAACTGAATTGGAAATCGAATTAATGTAAACTAAAATGCATACACATACAAACACATTTATAAAGACAGACAGACTGACAGACAGTTGAGAACAAAACGTATTGATCGAAGGAATATTTTAATTGTATAATCGTAAACTTTCCTTTTCTGTTTAGCAATATCCCAGGAGCGACTGCATATCTTGTATATATCTATCAGTTGATGCAATATTCCAGTTTGGTTTCTTACCATATTTTCTTTGAAAGAGGTTTACTACGCACAAAGAAGCTATTGTACCCAGGGTTTCAAAAAGTAAAGCTGACGTTATCTCTTCAACAGTTTTGCGGATACCATCATGATTTCGGTTGATCGTTTTGGGATATCTGAGTTACAGATGAATCTGTGAGTGTTCCCATGTCGTAACCACAATCTCGTCCTCATTTCCCCTGATGGTGACATTACTGATTAGACTTACCTCCAGATTTGTATTTGCATTATCAACATGACGGGTGCCACATGTAAAGCACGAACTGCCCACCCTTATGGAGCCCAACGTTCACTCCGGTTTTTGTTTCGGTTCGTGTTGATCCATCTTTATGTTTCTGTGTAAATTTTTGTAATTGTTTTTGTCTTTTGTCATTTTTATTTTGGCTATGGTGTTGCTTGTTTTTATTGGACTTATGAGTTTTGATGGTTATCTTAGTATCTTTTTACTTCTATTCTTTAGGCGATGTATACATGTACATTTTGCAATCTTAAACTTAAAATTAATTTTTCGAATCACTTTCATTCAGAAACGAATGGTGACATTTTGCCTTGGAAATTTATATCGTTTCCATTGTTTAGAAAATGGCATAAAACTACTAAAAAATAAGAATGATTGACCAACATTTTGGCAGTATCATAAATATGAAATTCACTGTAATCTTAGATGAAGTCATTTGTTATCTAATTGCTCTCAATATAGAGCTACGACTATATTCTATCGTTTCAAATCGTGATTTACTGTATTGCAGCTATCGTAACATAAATGCAAGATAAAATCATAATGTACTTGTTACAAAAGTTTGAGACAAAAAATAGAGCTTACAGCTATCACAACTTACCTCATTTCATTTCCAGCTGTCAAATTTCATACGGCTTTTGATAAATGCCGTTAATTCTCATGTTACCACTAGATAAAAGAATTATTTTGTCTTAGATACATGATTTTTTATATTAGTTGTTATTGGCTTTGAACTAGCTGTCAGTAACTGTGAGTACTCTCAGATCTGTAATTAGTGTATTTTTTGTTGTTAGGGATGAGAGATGGATATATACCCTGCCACGTCCTGTCTGTGGTTTTGTTTGATGTTTTTCTTTGTATCGATCTGATGAGTTAAGCCTTTTCAACTGATTTTTATAGTTTGTTTTTATGTTTTGCTGTTACACCACTGTCCCAGGTTAGGGGAGGGTTGAGCGCTCACAAACATGTTTAAGCCCGCCACATTCTTTATGTGCCTGTCCCAAGTCAGGAGCCTGTAGTTCAGTGGTTGTCGTTGGTTTACGTCTGTCATATTTGTTTTTCGTAAATTGTTTTGTTATAAATTAGGCCGTTAGTTTTTTCAATTGAATTGTTTCATATTTTTCATATCGGAGCCTTTATAGCCGACTATACGATATGGATTTTTCTCATTGTTGAAGGCCGTACGGTTGCCTATAATTGCTTACATCCACTTTATTTGAACTTTGGTGGATAGTTGTCTCATTGGCAATCATACCACAACTCCTTATTTTTATATAGAAAGCTTCTGTGGTTGTTGTTTTTCTAACAAACACGCATACTTTAAGACTAAGAGAAAGATTTTAATTAGTTAGTTTCTAATAACGTTTCACATCGAAATAACGGTATAACATTGCTAAACAATGAATATATGTAGCAACAGGTTCTTTTTCCATATAAACCGAAACAATAGCAGAGGGAAGATATTGGTCGTTGATGATTCTAAAGTCGAATGTAAAGAAGATGTCAAAATGTGTTTGTCAACTTCTAAACTTGGGTAAAAGCGAATATTCCCCCTAAAAATCGTCCTCGTCTATTAAATCTCATTTAATGCATCATGAGGCCTATTTACATACAAATAATGTTACAATATGGTTTAGATTGGCATCCATGAATAGAAGTTATCATTCAGCCTCCACTCTCGCTTTATAACGGACAGGTTTCGTGTTTATCGATTTAATATGAAGAGGAGAGTTGTATTACGTGTCATATGAATATGTGCTTGAGATACAAGGAATAAGCGTTAGTTTGCCCCGGAGAGCTAATGATATCTTTTAATGTACGTTGTGTCTCGTACTTAAACTATGATTGTGACGACTTTCCCTATTTCATTTCATTTCTTAAGTAAACCCTTTTATTTGTGAGCTGAAATAACCACTGCTATTTGATTAGATCTATAAAGTCACTTTGATGATTTTGATAGTAAATGCAAATTGGTATAAAATCGTATGAACTTACGGTATAAGGAATATGATTCCGAAATTTGTCCATTATTGACAAAATAAAACATAATCGAATTAATTTTCCAGTAAACATAATGTTACTGAAAGGCAGAGAAACAAATAAAGTTGCCCAAACAAATCACTAGCAATGTTCTAAAACAAATAATGTTTTCTAATTGCTGATTTATCTTTGATAGAACAAAAAAAACAAAAAAAATTAGAAAAAAGAGAAAGCGGTGAAAATTGTAATATATGCGTCCGAAATAAAACTTTTTACTTCTGTTTTTGTTTCATATTTACCGTTTTTGTTTCAATTTACCGTATGAAGAACTGCATTAGGCTATCAGATCCGGCTGACAGATACTTTGCGGACGGTTTACTTCAAGGAAGGAGTTCGAATACCGTTTTTGTTTCAATTTACCGTATGAAGAACTGCATTAGGCTATCAGATCCGGCTGACAGATACTTGGCGGACGGTTGACTTCAAGGAAGGAGTTCGAATACCATTCAAGACAAATAAAATTTGCAGAATTAAGTCTTTTTACAGAACTTTGTGAACAAACACAAGTAAATTCGATAATTCAGATTAAATGAAATCAAGATAACACAAAGGGAAACAGAATACTATTCAATCTGAAATATTCGCAATTCAGTTACATGTATGCCTAAGCTATTACGGGATTTCTCATGATCACTTTGTATTTATTTTAGAATTTAATATGAAAAACATATAATTCATCAAATAAAATTTCAAATCTAATCATTTATAGTCATATTTATTATGAAAATTAATAATTTATAGTCATATTTATTATGAAAATTAATAATTTATAGTCATATTTATTATAAATTACCTTTATTTTTACCTGTGTTACCTGTAAAAGGAATGCTCGCAAATGTAATCCCCAAATGCGCGCAAATGTAATGCGCCCATAAATGTATGTTAGTAGTATACACATACATATATGATATTATAAAAATGCAGGAATGGTTTCCGGTTAAAAACTTATTACCAGTTTTAGATTTTAGATGTATTTATTTTTTGTATACATACCATAATTATTTCGAATTTTATAGACCAGGACTAACTGGAGGAAATGGACTTTTAAAATAAAACAGATGTTCACTTTTATCACCTTTTAATATCACTTTTCCTAAAATGTTCTGAGAAAATTATCATTGTTCATTGGTTTAGCGCATCTGAATGAACCATTTGAAAACAAACCAATAGTTTGGTCAGTATGGGTTGATACAATATACTTTAATGGTATGTTATTTTATTAGCATGATACAAATATGGTTACTTACTGTTCAAAATAGTCACAGACGAGGAGTTTTAAATTATACTGGTTATACTTTGGATCCAGGTTAACATAACTGTCACACTTTACATAGGCACACCCTATCTTTGTTGTCTCCGCCCATATGATCTGTGTAAACATAACATATAAACAGAAATTATATAAAAAAACAACATTTAAATGTTGGGTATTTCGAAAAACCTTAATTTATAAAAAAAAAACAGAATAATTCAATAATAACTGTATTTGTATATTTTGGCATTGCACAAGGTCAGGCTTTTCTCATACTTAATATGATGTCTTTCCACTAAATCCATTGGACGTGTAGTGATTTATTTGTTAGTTGAACTGGGCTTTAAACTAGCTTTCGGTAGCTGCAAGTACTTTAAGATCGGTACTTTGTGTCCTTATTTGTTGGTTTTGTGATTCGTGTTGATCTGATGGAATCCCTTTTCAACTGAATTTTATTGTTCATTATAGTTTTATTGTGGCTACCACCATATTCTAAATGAGGGGAAGGCCAGTAGGAAACATGTTTAACCCCACCAAGTTATGTATGCGCATGTCCAAGTCAGGAGCCTGACATCTATTAGTTGTTATTGCTTTTTGACTGCAATATTTTGTTTGTTTGATTGTATAAGCTAAAACCAGAATGCTAGTTTTCTCGTTTGAATTAATTCAAATTTGTTCATGCCAATGTCTTTTTCACACCGTACAACCGACCCTTATCTTTTTGTTTAAACCCAACGATGACGCACCGCTGATGTAATATTGAACAAGGAAAGAATATTTGACTTAGAAGCTTTATTTCTTTAATTCTTGAATGAAATAGGCTATTAATTGTAATGTTTTGTTAAAAGTATCGAAATAAATCAACAAATTCAACAATGAAAGTACATTTTCCCAAGTTTTATACTGTAGGTTTTGAAGAGAATGTCTATTTTCCCCTCTATTGCAATCCCCAATGAGATTTTTGTAAGTGATACTACTAAATAGAAATACTCTATAGATAGTGTGTAATTTTAAGACTGAAATTGAAGCGGTTATGTTAGTGGAACGAAATAGCCCCCCTTGATAGCAACGGTACGACATTGACCGTCTTTGAATACGACGAAACATGATGTATCCCAAGTCTCACATGCATTATAAATACATCGGTTGCAAACCGGCGATCTATTATTTTGGTACTGTATTTTAATACGTTCATTAGTTTAAACTTATTAGCTTATATCTGTACAGATTTATGAAAAATAAGATGACCTTTGCATATATGTATTTTGAAATAAATTAACTTATTTTACAAATTCAAGATCATGTCCTTTTTTCATAGATTCAAATAAGAAAGTATCACATTGAACCGCTGAACCTGTCCATGTCAAGCAGAACGCCGCTCACATAGAGAAATTTTGATACATGATACATAAAATGAGATACATCTTGATTTCCTGGCACTCTTTTCAAGTATACAGTGGTGCGTGATCGTATCCGTCGTGTTCTGAACAAATGATACAGGTCGGTTGAAAGATCTGATATAGCTTATTACACGATACCATTTTCATTTTTTTCATTGTTGAAGGCCGTACGTATTGAGCTCTCTCTATTGACGGTCCATTTTGTCTTAACGCATATATCTTATTATATTCCAGCTATGGTTGGTTGGAAGACTTGAGTTTCTACAGATGATCCGAGTTATTTCTATAGACGGTTCGATTTGTTTTCTACTTGTTTTAAAGTTAGAATGAGTACCAGCAGGTCGTGAATACTGTTAATGAACATATTTTTTTCCGGGTTTTTCTCAAATTGTACTGAATATGATGATTTTTGGCGTTATTTCATGCGCATGAGCAAATACTCCCCAATTCAGTGTATGAATTTAAAAAGAATTGAGATAAAATTCGTTTATATTTCTAAGATAACTGTCAAACTAAAGATTTTGACGTAGTAGTATTTAGAGTATATATCGCTAGTTGTAAAATATTTACTTGACTAGCAACGAAAAATATCATCGCAGTAGATAACCCAACCACTTTGCCCTTGAGTTATAATCCAGTCGATTAAGACTATTGAGTAGATGTTTGTGTGAATACATTGTACAAATTAAAATAACAAAAATACCTAACACCAAGGAAAATTCAAATCGGAAAGTCCCTTATCAAATGGCAAAATCAAAAGCTCAAACACATCAAACGAATGGAAAACAACTGTCATATTCCTGTAAAAGATGGGACCTGTTGCAAATCTTTTATCTTGGAAGTACTTTAAAATGGTTCCAAAACATATCGTGTTTCTTTTTCTCTGTTAAAATTTCTATCGATAATTGTTGCATGGTACACTATTTTTTAATATTTCAACATGATGTAAACTGAAAGTTTCAACCTGAGGTAATATGTTTACAATCAAATGACAAAAATACTACGGTTAAGCTATTTTGACAAGAGTATTAACACGAACATATTAACAGACAATCAGAGAGGATAGTGGTTATAGATTGTCCCGGTACGGATAATAAATGTTTTCATACTACTCTCAGATTTTGTCAATTATTTATGCAGGGGCCTGTTAATCGAAGCAGTCTTAGGATTAGGACGTGTCCTAAGGCCAACTTAGGACATATCTTAGTCCTAAGTGGGTTTATCAAACATGTCGTAACTTAGGAAAATCCTAGGAATTGTCCTAACTTTAGGATACCAATTTAGGTGTCTTAAGATGGTCTTAGGATGGTCCTAACTTTAGGATATATTTAGGATTGTTATTTTATAAACAAATATGGCCTGTATTGGTTGCATTTACTTTAGGGAACTACCATTTGATTTTTATGACGGGGGTGGGGCTAGGATGAAAAATGTTGTTCTTCTTTTTTATTGTTGTAATCTCTGTCCTTCCTTTTTATTTTTCACTCTATTCGGTCTTGTCTTTTTTTTTTCATTAGTTTATCCTGACTTATTTTTACATAAATTGTCATCTTGCTTTTTTTTGCAAAGTTGCTCATCCTGCCTTTTTGTTTTACTCCATACTACTGTCTTGCCTTTTTTCAAAATTCATCCTAGTACCCCCCTCCACCCCCCCCCCCCCCCCCCCCCCAACCCCCTAAAAATCAAATGGTAGTTCCCTTAATGCATATTAAATCCCTATCCCTCTTTTCAGCACCATTTGTTGCAACATTTGGCAATTTACCAAAAAGCAAAGGGTTACTCGTGTCCACGTCGTCCAAGAGAGTCTGTAGTTTTGCATCGGTAGAATTCGAATTTCGTTTCTTATATTCACACGTATCATCGCATGTATTATGCAGTAATAAAATAGTTGAAGTACTCAGTATTTCTATGAAAGATGCACGAGATTTGCCTTTGAACTTTTAACTATGAAACCGTGAAACTTCGAAATCAGCTCACTCAAAGCATATAATGATTTCACCGATTATATATTTTATTTTAAATATTTACAATTCGTTTGTTTCAATTCTTATATAAAACGTAGTTATATTTTTTTGTCTTATGTTTTGTTTTATGAGTCTAAATGTACAATTATAATATAAAAAGTATTTATCACCTTTAATTTAAAACTAATAATTATTTTCTCATTATTTATCTTTTTTTTTTAATGATAGTTATTGGTTTAATTTGATACAATATTTTCATTTTTTCATTTTCAATTTGTTATTTTCTTTTACGCCAATACTTAGGACAGCGGTTAGGACATCCTAGCTAAGATAATCCTAAGATAGCTTCGATGTGCATGCTGAGACATGTCGTAAGTCGGTCCTAACTTTATCCTAATTTCTGTCCTAAGAAATTCTTAGGACCGATCTTAGGACAGTTTCGATAAACAGGCCCCAGATTATTTTACCCTTGTCAAAATGGCTAACATATATTTTGTTTTAAAGTATATTGCAGCAAGGAAATCGAAACAAACATATTATTTGTACAAGCCTGTAGTTCAGTGGTTGTCTTTTGTTGCTGTATATCATATTTGTTTTTCGTTCATTATTTTCTACATAAATCAGGCCGTTAGTTTTCTCGTTTGAATTGTTTTACATTTGTCATTTCGGGGCCTTTTGTAGTTGACTATACGGTATAGGTTTTACTCGTTGAAAGCCATACAGTGACCTATAGTTGTTAATTTCTGTATCATTTGGTCTCTTGTGGCAGAGTTGTCTCATTATATATACAATAAAACATATCAAGTATATATAAGGCATACCTTCTGTGAACCAACAAATGACATTGAATGTAAAACTATAACCTTACGTCGTATTTATAATTTACATAATTTCAGTTCAATAACATATTCTAATCGTGTGGTTTTACTACTCAAACTCAGAGTGGTTTCACTACTCAAACTCAAAGAGTGGTTTTACTACTCAAACTCAAAGAGTGGTTTTACTACTCAAAGAGTGGTTTTACTACTCAAACTCAAAGAGTTGTTTTACTACTCAAACTCAAAGAGTGGTTTTACTACTCAAACTCAAAGAGTGGTTTTACTACTCAAACTCAAAGAGTGGTTTTACTACTCAAAGAGTGGTTTTACTACTCAAACTCAAAGAGTGGTTTCACTACTCAAACTCAAAGAGTTGTTTTACTACTCAAACTCAAAGAGTGGTTTTACTACTTAAACTCAAAGGGTTGTTTTACTACTCAAACTCAAAGAGTGGTTTTACTACTCAAACTCAAAGAATGGTTTCACTATTCAAACTCAAAGAGTTGTTTTACAACTCAAACTCAAAGAGTGGTTTTACTACTCAAACTCAAAAAGAGGTTTTACTACTCAAACTCAAAGAGTTGTTTTACTACTCAAACTCAAAGAGTGGTTGCGTTATCTACTACAATGATATTTTCGTTGTTAGTGAAATAGAACAACTGTAGGAAAATAACTTTCAATTGGACCAAATAGGTTTTTAAAAATCGCTTTCTAACTTCTATGAAATTTTGAGCACATTCCTCTGTTGACATCTATAACAACAATGTATGATATAAAACTACCGGTAGTTGTATTTAAAAACAAAATATTTACAAGTCTTTGAGCATCTGGTGAAAAATTTATTGAAGAATTATTACCATCTTTGTACAAATGCCAGGATAAATATCATAATATATATTCGAACAGAACTTCATTGAATGAAATCAGATGTATCTCTTTTATATATAAGTTTATTGCCAAAATGAAAACAATAATAACATTTTATAAATTTGGTGCGTCGGAATCGCTTTTCTGATTTACGTTCATAACATGCATCTACACCTTAACCGTTCTCTGCTGAACTGATATGAGTTAAAGTTTAAATATTGGCATAAATTCTTTGTTATTACTGATTAATATATGATAATCACTATTTCAGCAAATCTATGCAAAATAAGATATAAAACTGACAAAATCTAAAATTTACGACATTCAAGCCGGATCTGATTGCCCTTCCGGCGCACCTGATATAACCCTCGATTATGCAGTCATTGTGTACCAATATTGCTGCCATTTGTATTATACAATCTAACCTTAGTAATCAGATATACTGATTTACTAAATCGCCGTATAAAATGCATGATGGGAATTATAACTACTGACCATTATAACTGAGAACAGTGCTCGCCGTATAAAATGCATGATGGGAATTATAACTACTGACCATAATAATTGAGAACAGTGCTATCTGTAGGATTGGAAATTATTTTTATTAATTATAATAACACAAACGGTACCAATTGTAATGCACCAGATGCGCATTTTGACAATTAACGTCTCTTCAGTGATGCTCGAGGCCAAAATATTTGATTATCCAAAATCTGATACAAATGATGAAGAGCGGATCAAATCAAAAAGGACCTAACTATACATTTCAGTAAAACATAAGGACGGAACCATATCTGAAAAGGAGTACTTCTACCAAAGTTGTCTCCTGTTATCTGTTCAAAAGTATTTCAAAATGTTATTTACAGTTAAGATTACCTTCAAATACCATATCGTGCATAAAATAAGACACCCACTTTTTTAACGAATATTTAGTAAGGTATATAAAAAAGAATTTGATATATTTTAATAATTCTAATTTTTGAGGTAAGACAATCAGATCACTGCGAGTGTTTTAAATTGCAATCTGATTGTTGAAATACAGATCCTGTGTCCCCGATTCCCTTACACGGATCTGACAACACTCCGTTTAACTTTCTGTTCTGGTAAGCATAATGTCAGCTAATAAAATGTATGCCTCTCAAATTTTGAAGGTGTGTACAGAAGTATCATTAGGATAAAACCAGAGGATACCGAAAGTTCTTTCATACAGAAAGTAGAACGGAGAGTTTTCAGATCCTTGTAAGCAAAGCATGTACACATGATCTGTATTTTAACTATTCTCATTATGATATAGTATGTGAATCCCTCTTTAAAAAAAAACATCATTCACCTCTGAAGCTAACAAAACCTTTAAATAGACTTATTAAGAAGGGATATAGTTACGATACTGTTGTCAGGTCATTAAAGATTGCATATTTTGGCGTTAATATTGATTCACTTATAGGGTCTTTGCATCGGCACTAAACACATTTATTTAAAAACCAGTTGTTGGCATGACACGGGTTGTGTTCTTCTCATATATGTTATGATGGTATGATACTAAACCCCTAACGGGAAGGATTGTGCCTGATATTCATATGATGAAGACATAATCTTTCAATCAGTTTAATTGAAGTCTGGAGCTGGCATGTCAGTTAACTGCTAGTAGTCTGTTGTTATTTATGTATTATTGTCATTTTGTTTATTTTCTTTGGTTACATCTTCTGACATCGGACTCGGACTTCTCTTGAACTGAATTTTAATGTGCGTATTGTTATGCGTTTACTTTTCTACATTGGCTAGAGGTATAGGGGGAGGGTTGAGATCTCATAAACATGTTTAACCCCGCCGCATTTTTGCGCCTGTCCCAAGTCAGGAGCCTCTAGCCTTTGTTAGTCTTGTATTATTTTTAATTTTAGTTTCTTGTGTACAATTTGGAGTTTAGTATGGCGTTCTTTATCACTGAACTAGTATATATATTTGTTTAGGGGCCAGCTGAAGGACGCCTCCGGGTGCGGGAATTTCTCGCTGCATTGAAGACCTGTTGGTGACCTTCTGCTGTTGTCTGTTCTATGGTTGGGTTGTTGTCTTATGACACATTCCCCATTTCCATTCTCAATTTTATCATATCAAGATTTTAATATAAAAGCGTATTATATAATTAAATGCTGTTTAAACGATGAAAATAATTGTTTTATGTTTATATGGCAAAATACATGTATTGTTAAATGCCTTCCATACAATTTTTTTTCAATTGTTTTATTTTGTTGTTGCCATTTTGTACTTTTTCGTGTTGTCTTTTTCTGTTTTACTAGCCTCCAAAATATTTATTGATCATTTATATTACCTGAAAATTCTACAAAATATAACAGAATTCTTCATTAAAAAAAAAACAATTCTAGAAAAAGATTCTTAAATATTTGTTATCAAACAATACCTGAGTGTAATGTCCACATGTTTTACCCGTCGTACAGCCATCACGATAGTTGCCATATGTCCAGTCTTTTATCTCTTCTTTCCAGTTGTTAAAGCCTTGTAGCACTCCTGTAAAATCCATATAAAGGGAATGATATCACACTGTTCATACATATGCACATTATATAGCATTTTGTCTTCTATATGTTATAAGGGGCCTCGGTGGCCGAGTGGTCTAAGTAGTTACTACTGTTATCACTAGCCAGTCAACACTGAGGTTGTGAGTTCGAACCCCGCTCGTGCGGGTGCACTCGACTCCAATCTTAATTGACTAGGATTGTCAGTTTTCCTATCGAAGGTCGGTGGTTTTCTCCGGGCGCTCCGGCTTCCTCCACCAATAAAAACTGGCCGCCACGAAATAGCCCAAAAGCGGTGTTTAAAAGTGGCGTTAAAACACCAAAAATCAAAATCAAATCTATATGTTATAGTTTTTGTTGTTTACAAACGTACGAAATTATATTGAAGTGTAGACATATAGTTGTTAATATTTACACAATGTCTATCAATTATATTACTTCTATGGAATACGATTTGTTAGCGTCAATCAGTGAATTATACATTGCCTGACAAGGAAGTTAAATGGAAATAATAATACTGTTAATCCCAAAATATCAATGGTATATTGAATATCAAAATATCTTTTACAGACTTTATTACTTTCATAAAAACCGTGTATTGATATTAAATCATGTTACAATACAAAGCATGTAAAACAAAATGTAATGACGCTAACAAATCGTATTCCATAGAAGTAATAGGATTGACTTTTTCTAACCTTTACACAAGTATTCCCAATTCAAAATTAAAAGACAAATTGAAATATTTGGTCCTGCTTTGGTTCATAAAAAAGAACGGCCAATTATACAAGTATCTTTTCTTAGGGAGGGATAAATCGTACTTTGTAAAAAGAATCACTCTGATACAAACAAAAATTCTCTGAAACTGACATTTTTAAGATGCTTAATTCTTGATTGACAACATATTTGTTACGTTTGAAGAACGTGTTTTTAACAAACAATTAGCATTCCCGTGAGAACTAACTGTGCTCCTTATCTCGCCGACTTGTTCCTTTATTCATGTGAGGCTGACTTAATACATCAGCTTCTTAGGAAGAATGAAACTTGAAGAAGCTAGCAGTATCATTAAACTTCACTTTCCGCCATATAGACGATGTCCTCTCACTAAATTTTTCAAAGTTTGGTGACTATGTTGAACGCATGTATTCCATCGAACTTGAAATAAAGGATACAACAGATGCAATTAAGTCTGCCTCATATATTGACTTGACAATTACAAATTTTTTAGAACAAAACACAACGACAAAAGAGATGGTTTCAGCTTCCCTAGTGTGAACTTTCTATTTCTATGTAGGAACATTCCAGCAGCGCCTGCATATGGAGCATATATCTATTAGTTGAAACGATATTCCAGGGTTGGTATTTCCTATCATGATTTCTTTATAAGAGGGTCGCTGCTCACAAAGAAGCTATTAAGCCAAGAGTTCCAATTGGTGAAATCAAAATCATCCATTCGAAAAAATTTCGGACGCCATTACAGGTTGGAAGACCGTTATGGAATACTTGCTTCAATGGTGACGACGGATATGTGCCAAATCCCGTAACCACCACAATCCCTTCCTCTTTTCCCCTTATATTACCTACCGAATTAGACTTATCACCGGGTTTGTACTTACATGAGCAACTCGATGGGTACCACATGTGGAACAGGATCTGCTTACCTTTCCGGAGCTCTTGAAATTGCCCCCGGTTTTTGTTGGGGCTCGAGTTTCTCAATCTTTATATTCTATGTTCTGTTTTGTATACTGTTTGTCTTTATGTCTTTTATTTTGAAATGGCGTTGTCACTTTATTTTCGAATTATGAGTTTGACTGTCTCTTCGGTATCTTTCGACTCTCTTCTAGTTTCAAATTATTAAAAAAAAAAGTCAATCATTGGGCCATGTGTTTTCCCTGCAAACGAAGTGTTCTTAAATTTTAACTGCATTTATACCTGATATTATGGAAACCAAATCCTAGGTAGCAAATTTGAACGATTGGCAAGTAAGAGGATGATCGCAAGTAAACAACGGAAAGAAAGATTCAGACTCATTTATGTATAACATTAAAATATTGATAAATAATATACTACCAGATGTTAGTGCCATATTTTCTCCTGCGCTGCCTAGTGATGTGGTTTTGTTTGGATTATGTCCCCAAATACAGCCATTTGCCCATTCCTCCGCCTTGTTGGCCAACTCAGTGTCCCATATCTGAAGAAAAAAGGATACTATCTTTATTTATTTCCGTTTATTTACAAGTATGGTCGTTCATATAAATATACAACGTTGACCTCCATTCTTAAACGTGTTTAAATGAAATGCCTCTGTTTCCTTTTCTTAATTTTCTTAATATACAACAGAACCGTGTAATAAACGGAGATATGTTATAGCACAAGTCCTTATAAATTATGTTTAACGACATCAAACGTACTTGACTACAAGTATACGGGAAAGAAACAGTCAAATGCACAAAATACACGAGTCAAAATTGAATTAAGAAAAATAAGTGTATAACGAGGATCCTAAAGATCTAAAATTTGTTGTCTTTGCCTAAAAGAGGGGTCCATAAACTCCGTTTTCAAAATAAATTTGTCTGAATCAAACTGTGACATATCGGGAAAAGATGCATTTTTCAACTGATTTTTATCATTCAGACTGATTTATCTTGAAAACGACATTTGGCTTGCTTATGTATGAAGATTACTTGTGCCAATTTTTATAAACAAATCACAGATGAAATATTTTTAAATTAAAATAAATATACAGCAAAAAATGCCGTTCTTTGAGTAAAATCATGAAAATGTGATAAAAATGAATGATTTCCAAAGAATTGTTTTACAAATTCAAAGCACACTTATATAGATAAGATATTCCAGATGCTTTTGCAAAAATCCGCTTGCGTTTATCTTTTAAAACAAAAAAAGTCAGATATGTCTTTCTAAAGGATAGAAATTTCCGGTAAATGTCTAAAATTTCGACCCCATTTATCTCTAAAAGTAGAACATGAAGGTATATTTTTTAATACATATCTGAATTGAATAGATGAAAAATAGCTTGTATGCAAACTTTTGTCAAAAATTCACCGTGCGATCAAAACTGTATCGTATGCCCTTAAATGATTGATGCCTCTCATAACTCCGAGACAAATAAAGTATACTACCGAAACTGGAAAGTGCACTGTTATGAATCACAGTGCAGTATGGCTAAACTCAGTAAATCCCATTTAATGGATAAATTCAACAACACCTACCGTTATCGTGGTGATATTTTTTCGTTAAATAATCAAAAATTCCCTAAATATACTGCCGAAATTTACCCGAAGGAACCTACTTAATATTAACATTAATAACTGTCCTTTCCTAGATTTAGATATTTCAGTTTTACACCAGAAACCCTACACAAAAATGTAGAAATGTTTCAAACGGAATAGCACATCCAAAATTTTACGGTGATATTGTTTATCGAGCTTGGAAATTTAGATACGATCCGGTTAAACTTATCAATGCTTTAAATAAATTTATTTTGAGAGGTTACCGATTCAACACTGTTATTATATCTTTGAATATTGATTTTATTGGTATAAATATTGATTTTGATATCAGTAAATTCAAACCATACTAAATATTATTGTTAATATACACATATGCACTTTCACGGTACTACAATCTGTCGATACCTATATTTTGGCATTGCAAAAGGTCATGTTTTTCTCTGACTGTTAATGACGTCTTTACACTAAATCCATTGGATGTTGGATGTGTACTGATTGATATTTTAATCTTAGATATCTGATTTTTTTTTGAACTAGCTGTCAGTAACTGCGAGTACTCTCAGATCTGTACTGTGTCTCTTTTTTGTTGTTAGGGATGTCTCAATACCCTGCCACGTCCGGTCTGTGTTTTTGTTAAATGTTTTTTTCTGCTTTGTATCGATCTGATGAGTTAAGCCCTTTTCAAATGATTTTTATAGTTTGTTTCCTTTATTATGCTGTAACACCACTGTCCTATGTTAGGGGAAGGTTGAGCGCTCACAAACATGTTTAACCCCAAACATTCTGTATGTGTCTGTTCCAAGTCAGGAGCCTGTAGTTCATGTTTGTCATAATTGTTTTTCGAAAATTATTTTGTTATAAAGTATGTCGTTAGTTTTCTCAATTGAATTGTTTCATATTTTTCATGTCGGTGCCTTTTATAGCTGACTATACGGTATGGGTATTTCTCGTTGTTGAAGGCCGTACGGTCTCCTCTAATTGCTTACATCCACTTCATTTGAACTTTGGTGGATAATTGTCTGATTGGCAATCATACCACATCTCCTTATTTTCATATTCATATCTTTTCATTGATATTGATCAGATGGACCAATCAGAAAAGCATTTATGAAAAAGGATATAAATTCAGTTTTCAAATTGACAACTTCTTATTTTTCATAAGTAACATATCCTCTGTCTTATGCGTAGGTCACACATTCACGGATTGGACGCCGGATTAGCTACGGGTACGATCCGGCATCATTCGTGGCAGTCTGTATTGGTACGTAGATTTCCGTATCGTAGCCGTAGTCATACGTAGTAGTATTTGTATATCCGTGACAAGTTTTGAACATGCACAAAATTTGACCACGGACCAAACAACCGTAGTATATCCTTACTAAACCGTATTAGAACGTACTGATCCGTTTTAGTCCCTATTAAAGCCGTATTAATCCGTTCTTATTCGTACTCACGAAGGATTTCTACGGTTAGTTCCGGAGAACTACGTTCTAGTACGATTACACCACGCATTTGTTAAGGATAGAATAGGGTTTGTTACGAATTTTTTACGGAACGGCACGATCTCAGTACGTTGCATTACGGATAGCTAGGGATCAGCCAGGGTTCTAAAAGTCTTTTACGGTTGACTACGTTACAACACGACAAAATACGGAATATTACAGCAAAATGTATTGAGTGTGTAGGTAAAGGTAATATCTTTGGTTAGCTTGCTTGCTGGCTCAACCGTGAAGTCATTATTAGGTTAGGTATACTACCCTCCTTAAGAGTAGAATAGTCCGACAGAAAACAAATCTATCTGTCTGTAGGACTAGACTACTCCGAAAGGAGGGTAGAATAGTTAACCTTATAATGACTTCACGGTTCAGCTAAAATGCAAGCTAGCCAAAGATATTACCTCTACCTACACACTCAACGCATTTTGATGTAAGGTCCACGACACACTGACATCAGGCTTCTGTATAAATACTCCCTACTTATAGGTCCCAATTAACCTAGTCTGTGTCTTGCCGTAGAGGTATACATAATATTATCCAACATGGACAATCAACAACTGATGCTTGCAATTAATTGGCTAGAATTGGATATTGATATAGCACAAAATGCCATGGCGGTAGTCGCGCTATTTGATGACAGCCGTAGCTCGAGGTGACCGCTGGCAGAGGAGATGTTTTTCTGTGTCATGGCAGAATAAAAAACGTCCTTTAGAAGTGTCGAGCTTTGTTGGATATTATTCAATATTACACTTTGTTCCTTATTTCTATTTACGTATGCCTCTTTGCGGAAGATAAATGCCTAATTGGAATATACACAATATAACACACACACATATAATTTATAGCTTTAGTTAAGAACCACACACGTACTATAATGTCAATAAAATGCAAATGCCAACATTTTTATAATCCACAACTAAATGCGAAAATATTAAATAAATAATTTAATAAAACAAAACAAAACAAAAAATCATCGATTCACTGCCATGAAGAGATGATAAATTACAAGCTTAAATAGAAATGATTAACGGTTTAGAAAATGTGGCGGTTCGTACTATCTCGTATCAGACCGTTCTCATTCGTACTTACCCTTACTTCTACCGTAGCAAACCGCTGTTTATCCGCAGTACATACGTCACGACACGTGTCGTTTCGTATTTAACCGTGTCATTTCCGTATTAAACCGTGTCGTACCGTAAGAATCCGTATCACTCATGCCGCCAAAATTACCCCTTTCCTACATTACCCGTGGTAGATACGTCAAAACCCGTAGTCACACCGTGGTTCAACTGTATCGGATCCGTATCGGACTACGGAAACTGCATTCCGGGATCATCCGTGAGATATAATCCGTAGTGGAACCGGCGAGGTGATCCGTGAATATGTGACCTAGGCATTATCGTATAATGATTACATCACGGATATGTTGACAGAATAGTTGTCTCATCGGCAATTTTACTTATTGTGTCCTCTATTCCATTTTGTTTCATTTTGATTGAGTGTCGATTGGAATGGTGAGTGATGAAAACATAACAACAAATGCTTGTCCTATTTGACATGCCTGGTTTTGTTGCGTTTGGATTTTTGAGACTACGTCTGGTTTTTATTTTACTTTAATTTTTGTATTAGTATGTTTTGAAGGAATTTATTAAATTTTAACTACTCTTGTCTCTTATGTAACATATTTTTCCCCATTTCATCTGATCTACTCGGTATACAAAATTAATCCAGAAAAACCATGTCCATGTTATATATTTTTTCGTTTAAGATATGTTAAATTTATATGAATATGTACATAAAAATATGATTTTTGTTGTTTGATAATCATATTCACTATCATTTTTAACTTTATTTCTGCTTTCCAATTGTGATCTTTCCTTTTCTTTAGTATTCAGCAAAATTTCCAGTACTACCTGCATATAGGATATTAATTTCCTAGCTTAAACGATATTGCAGAGCTAGTGTTCCTATGATAATGACCCTGATAGAAATTTTATTAATGTTGGAAACCTATGAGTTGTGTTGTTTGGCCTAGCTCAACAATTTCAAGAGTTTTAAAATTGAAAAGAATTAAACAATATGAAAGTATACATGATATCCGGTCTTTAACCATGATTCATATTACATAACTTACGTATCGAAAAATGGAGTCGAAAGATACCAACGGGACATTCAAGCTCATAAGTCGAAAATAAACTGACAACCCCATGCAAAAAAAAAAAGAAAAAAAGACAAAGACAAAAAGACAAACAACAGTACACAAAAACAACTATAAAACTAAAGACTGAGCAACACGAATGACCACCAACAAAACCTTAGGTGACTCACCTATCTCACCTAATTATTCTTAATCTGTACATTTGGGTTGTTTCTAACTTGAAATGTTTCTAGTAAAACGGGGCACAATTCAATTTGAATCATGTCTCATCGTCTTTATCAATACATTATATGTATTCCTGATCGGTAGGATACATCAAAGAAGTATGATTAATATCGAACGTCTATATAAGTAATAGCTCTTTGCTTATTACATAACATAACCTTATGTATAGCGATTAGGGTATCTATGTTCATTTGACTTATTACATAATGGAAATCAGATTGTAATATACGGTACACTTCAAAAAAATTCTATTCGCTTAACAGACTTCCATTAACAAACTCGTTTTTCTTTCATAGGTTTTGATGTTTTAGAAAATATTTTAGTTTCTTAAAGCTTTGCGTTTAATATTACATTTGATATAAATGCAACAATTTTATGAATTGTATGCGATTTTGTTTCACCATTTTTGGAATTTATATGTTTTTATAGGTCAAAACAACTTCGTATTTTATTTGACCTTTTTGAATTTTTCGATTCGAGGGTCACTGATGAGTCTTTTGTAGACGAAACGCGCGTCTGGCATATACATGTCTATCTGTGATGAGTTTATCTACACAAGCATACCATATGACATATAATGATAAGAATTCTTATGTTGAGTACTACCTATATGTGCGAGAATGATTCCTATTTTCATGATTAAGTCCGAGCGTTAGCGAGTATTTATCATGAAGAAAGGGGTTGTCATTCTCTTACAAACTTAGAATATTATGTACATGTAAGAGAATGATAATCCCTTTCTTCGTGATTAAGTACGAGCGTTAGCGAGTACTTGTCTTGAACAAAGGGATTTTCATTCTCTCACAAACTTAGAATATTGTAAAGTGCTCAAGGCTCAAATTGTTTGGCTTTAATCAAGAATCCGTTTCATTGTCGGTGCAATGTTTATTATTAAGGCATGACTTCCTTTTTAGGCATTTCATTAATGGATATGTCTAGGTAATGTAGGAACTATCAAGTGATAAGGAAAAGTTTAATAAATTATGTAAAAGGCATTAGATGACCCAACAAATACGTTGAAATGGTAGGAATTGTTTAAGTTTTCTAATTGTGAGTATGAATGTAATTTAGTGAGAAAGTGTCTTTTTGTTTAAAGTTTACAGTTCAAATCAATAAATTCTATCTTTTAGTTGAAACTAAATCTTATTCCACAGACAATATTTGAATCCAACTCCTTACATCAAATACGATTCATTAAGTAAGGTAATTAACTAAAATTAAAATATTAAAATAAAATACATTTTCAAATGAAATTCAAAGGTTCAACTTGATTTAATCCCTATATATAAATACCATTCTTACCAACCGTGGATCCAGTAATCTGAAATGTTTTGTTAGTGTATTAGCTTTAAGATTTAAGTTTTGAGTTTCAAGGACTTTTTTCTTTCTTTCTTTCCTTTTGCATTGCATTGCTTTGATATTGTTTATTTTTTATAGCAATTTTATCAATATTCAAATCATAACTTTAACGATACCACTTTTCACTGCACCGATTAACTTCACTGTATTTTGATTTTTATTTGTTTAACTATTTACAATTTTTCATCAATTTCAATAATAAAATGTAATCCATTCCAGCTGTGCTTCGGGCAGTTGTAACTCATTTATTGAAATTTTATGATTTTAACTTGCAGTAGGCCTAAACAATAGGACAATCACTTACTGAGAACATGATTTACATTCATTCCTCACAATTAAGACACACCAAAATCCTACAATTTCATTGGTGGAGAGCACTTTGCTATATTCTAATATCGTAAAGTGATGGCGACAGAATGTAATTTACAATTTTTGCATTGTCAAAATTCAATGCAAATTGTTTGTAAATAAACTATGTAAAAGATCTAAAAGAAAACAAACTCTTAACCATACTTTCCACTGCGAATAAAATTTGACTATTCTAAAAACATAATCTCTTTATCAATGAATATGACATTCCCTTGAATTATGGCACGTAGTTTTTCGTTTTTTGCCATGACATTGTCAGTTTGTTTTCGACTTATGGGTTTGAATATCTCTTTGGTATATTCCGCCTCTCTTTAATTGTTACTACAAATGTAACCAATGCAGAAGAAAGAAATTTGACTATTGATGTGCTTTTATTTTAACAAATGATATTCGTGTTCAGTTCACAGTTTGTAGTAAAATGTTATAAATTGTATTTTTAACACCCAAAGTAGTACTGAATTTTGCGAATAATTCGATAGTATAGGCATGCGCTACGTGTGAACGAGGATGAACCCAAAACTGTTTAAAAACATAATTTTCGTTTTTAATTGAAATTACTCAACCCGGATTCAGAAATGAAATAAAAAGCACATTATTTTCTCCCAAACCTTCATACAAGTTTTAAATCGGAATACAGTCTTAAAAAGCATAATTATGCAACTATTTAATTGATCAAGAGGTAAAAGGGAAGAATAATAAAAATTGGTATGAAGAATAAGATTTACAAATTTCAAAGTACTGTCGACCCATTTTTTATTACATTCTAGCAGTCTGGCATTTTTTATTTAATTTTAAAAAAGTGACACTTATAACATGTCAAAACAATACCTTATTCTGGCGTATGCTAAAAAATTCAACATACCTTTACTAGTTATTGCATATAAAAACGCACTGGTTCACGGAAGTTCGGACGTATAGATCAAGTACTTCCTGATCTGAGAAACAGACAAAATATACCCTTTTTTTTCAATTTTATAAGATTGATAATGATTAAAAACCAAAGATTGATAATGATTAAAAACCAAACAATCAGGTCGTTGGTTTCCATATCATATCTTCTTATTCTATATATAACAAGGATCAACAGTCATCTCAGGTCCTCACTGTTTCATTCATACCAAATTACTAAAATATTCTATTTATTTTTAAAGTTACAGCAATGTGTAGGAAATATTTTTGGTGAAATACTAGTATGTTTTACTTTCTTATATGTTCTTCATGACCAAACTCAAACCGGAATTGAAAAAAATGCATTGATTAAATCCAAACCTTTAAGTTATCCAAATTATAAAAAAGTATAATACCTTTCTACTTCATCTCTTAAATATTCTTTGATACATATGTATTTGTTTACTTTTAAAGACCGGTGTCTGGCAAATGTATATACCAGGCAAAAACAACCACTCAATATGATATCAATTAAGTATATTAAGCAAACTTACCAAGTCCGGCAGAGGTGTTTTAGCAGGGGGTGAAACTTCTTGACGGGCAGTATTGTGGAGAGATAAAATTTCATCTATTGAAAAATCTAAGGGAGTCCCGTTAGATCTCTTGTAGTTGCTGTTGGTCCGACGATAATTTATATTCGATGGCTTCCCAACCAAATGCATAGCGCGTTCTTCTTTTTGTGACTGCTGTCTCCTATTACTGATTCCCGTCAGTCTAGCAAGTAAACGATCATATACGTCATCTCTAGAAGCGAGAACACCAACCCAACACATGCAAGCAAAAATAAACTGATATTTAAACATGGTTTTCCGATCTCTTCACAACCAGAAAGGTGCTATCTGTTTTATTAGACTCGAAACAGTGGCTAACATTAATTTGTGAAAGAATTCTCATTTATAGTCCATCTGAATTCTCACGTGGAACGTTACCATAGCTGATATACCTCGTTGATTAAGTAAATAAAATTGAAAGCTCAATGGCTTGTAACCATGTGTATCACACATGGTTTTTTTTATATACTGCAAATATAAATAAATTTAAATTCCGAAACGAATTTGCTCTATCTTTTCATTTCATTAAAAATCAAATTAATTTCTTATCTAGAAAACTAATGTATGATCAATATTTTGTTATTTCCGAAAACCGTATATTGACTAATAAATATTTTTCTTTTTTATGTGATTCGCGTAGACACAGGATAGATTTTTAAATAATAAATGAAACGGAAATGTATTCTATACACCAATTAAACAGCAACCGTATAAAGCAAAAATACATGCATACAAACAAAGTATCGTAAAGACACATACAAGGCAAACTAACGCCAAGGGTGAACATAAGTTATTTTATGTTGGTGTTACTCCATCTTTGAATTTCCAGTGCATTTCTTGATTTTATCATCACTCGACATTTGAAAGATGGTATAAAATAGCCCTTTTCTTTAAAAGAATAACTCTTTATTAGTTTAATATTGAGTCACTACATTTTTCTTAAAAAAAATAGTTATATAACTATTTAATTGATGAGTATCTTTGATCAGTTGTAAAAAAATATATTCTTGTAAAAAGGTCCATCTTTTTATGATTCTTTTAATGCTCGTAAGGGCCTCTTTAAAAAAAATTCTTTCGTGATCCATGAAGGTTTTTTGTCTAAATTTCTATCCCTTTCCAATATACACACATTTTCAAGTCAAGTGGCATTTCCCGAATATTCTGGAACACTGCCCGATCCTTCGTCCCGGTCCTCTATTACAGTACCTACCTATTATATTCATTGTTATTTTGTTCTCGTCTGAACATGCATGAAATCTTTGCCACTGGACGTTAAGCAAACACAAATCAATCAATTAATCAATATATCATTCAGGTTATTTTTCATATAATGAAAAAAATAGAAAAAAATGACAGTTGGTTCAAATTTACTGTCGAGTATGCAACTATTTGATATAAATTACAATTCTATAAAATATAAGCTCATTTTTCAACAATTTTTAAAACATTCAACCATAAAAAATAGACGGAAGATACGAAGGAGACATACCAAACTCACAAGACGACGAGAAACGGACGAAGTCTTGGCAAAATACAAAACAAGACGACGAGAAATGGACGAAGTCTTGGCAAAATACGAAAGAAGACGACGAGAAACGGACGAAGTCTTGGCAAAATACGGAACAAGACGAAAAGACATCATTTTATAAATCAAAAGATGATAATGTTAGACTACAGCGAATATGCAGGTAGCTTAAATTCCCAACGTCAGTTGTAAAATAATAATAATAATAAAAAAACAGATCAAGACAAAGATGGATGAAAATAATCGGAATAACATGAACTCCAGAGGAAAGTTATCAGGCCAATCTAGACAGTATAAGAATCAGCTTTCGGTCATTAAACTTTTCTCAGTGCTTTGAGTACAAAATTTGTGCTCGAAACACCAAATCCAGTATTTTGATTGGTTGATTTCTGAGTCTGAGTACGGTAATCGTGCTCGAAATTTGTATGACCGCATGCCTATCATGCAAATATGAAAAAGAAGAGAGTGTAAAACCAATGAACCTGACGAAATCGATGACAACATCAGATGCAATAGAATCTGAATTTGCCAATTATACGAAATTGGTTAAAACATATTTGGCATATGCATCGATGTAATTACGATTTCATTTCTTAATAATTGGAAGAATAACGCATATGGATACTTGTACTACATCCTGATAAGTATCTTTATAGCGGACCATAAAAACATGTTCACTGTTGCATAACTTGTATACATTTTGTGAATAATTTTTTCTTGATTACGTACGTGAACAATTCCGGTATACTTAAAGTTTAAAGGGAAAATTCGCGATTTTTTACTTATCATCTTATTATGTTCATAATACCATAAAAAACATATTCACCAAGTTTTATCTGGATATGAAAACTAATAAAGAAGAAAATTGGGAATTATTAATTTTATTTATGCGAACTTCCTGACTTCTGTGACGTAGTTTAAGTCTTTTTGCATGCCGGGAGTGGAATTAATCTCATTTAAGTCTTGTTCGTTAATCATCTAATAACGCGATTTAAAGCGCATCGACGACTTTTGGCGTAGCTATTAACCAACTAATAATTAAGAAAGTAAAGTGATCAGCCGTGCAACTTTTAAAAATAAAATGTACGATTTATATTTTAAGGATTTCTGATATGATTATAGTCATTATAGTAATAAAAGTAAATCATACAATAGAATATTTTTATGAATTTTTTTTCCGACGGATATTTTCAACAAACATATTTAACTGATAGTGTATTAAAAATGCATGTTTGTATTCTCACCTTTTACTTCAGTCTAGCAAACATTTTCCGCTAGTACCGTGTAAATACAATGTGTATTGTACTAAGACACTTAGTGACTACCTGTTGAATGCGTGTTTAAATTCAAGGTATTTAAAGGTTTGCATTCTGTAATTCTAATCTTTTGATCTTCACTCAGTGAATTTTAGCCGTCATGGTTCACCGTTCCAGGTGTGAACATCATTTTGTATGAATGATAAACGGGAGTGATAGTTTGAGACGGAAAATAAAAAAAGAAATATAATTATTTTGAGGGAGTAATATGGTGGCACAATAACTGGATAGCCGTGGTATATTTTTATATTTTCCGTAAGCTCAGTTTAAAATGAATTATGACTGCTGAATATTTTTGTAACAATGAAATACTGAATTAATTTAATTGAATAAATAATAATGGCATTCTAAACACGAGTGTATGAACTAAAAATTGTACTATTTTAAATTAGAATCGGTAACCTTGAATATTTGAAATAGATAATTACCAATTGCAATTATATAATTTGGTCCGTCCAAAGCGATCTTTATTTACATATTCAGGAATTAATGTCCTTATCAAAATATTTTGAATCTCACAACGTATAAATACATCAGCCATTTGAAGAAAGATAATTAAAAAGTTGACAGGAAATTTAAGGTCAACTTTGTCTTATTGGAATGAGATCGAATAATTAAGAACAAAAATTATTTTCCGGTTTGAAAAACATAAAAAAAAAATGATAAAAGAGAAATGTGGGTTTGAGACAGAAAAAAAATAATTATTTGGGGAGGAATATGGTGGCAAAATACCTGAAACGCCGTTATATATATATTTTATATTTTGCGTTAGCTCAGTTTTTAAATAGATGGGTGAGTACTTTGTTGTAACATCAGAATTCTGAATAACTTTCAATGAAATAATTTTATAAATAAAAATGGCCCACGAAAACGAGCGTAAAAACCAAAAACTGTGCTATTTTGAATTATCATCGGTAACCTTGAATATTTAAATGTGCAGAGAAAATTATCAGTTACATTAATATAGTTTGGTCCGTCCAAAGCGATCTACATTTACCTAATCGGGAATGTCCTTATTAAAATATTCTACATCTCACAACAAATACTTTAGCTATTTGACCAACGATGTTTAAAATTTTTTTACAGAATCAATCTAACGTCAACTTGCCTTTATTGAATGGAGACAGACCGGCGGAATCAATGTTCAATGTGCTTTATATCTTGTACCTTTGTAAGACTTATCATTCATTCATAAACCATGTCTATACCGCAGACATATATATACATATAATTATATGTCTGTCTTAACTGACAAGAATACTCCTGGGTTTACACTAGCAATTTGTTGGGGCCCTTTATAGCTTAATTGCTGTTCGGTGTGAGCCAAGGCTCCGTGTTGAAGACCGTACTTTGACCTATAATGGTTTACTTTTATAAATTGTGACTTGGATGGAGAGTTGTCTCATTTGCACTCATACCACACCTTCTTATATCTATAAGCAGTATTATCTTTAAATTTCTGTGATTTAATACCAAGAAAGAAAAAAATCCCGAAATTAATTTGATACTTTGATACTCAATATTTTTCCTGGAAAATATTCACATCCTCATTCGGTCTGAAAATAAGATAAGAAACTGGTATACAGAACATGCAGAAGTGTGAATGTCATAAAACCTTGTTATATCAGAAACCATTATAAATGTGAACCTGTATACGTAAGACCTCATGGGACGATGTACCTAACATACAGGTAATATACAAGTAGCTCTGTTATACCCGGAAATGTCGAGGTTAATCACTACCGATACAGAATGTACCAATGCAAAGTAAATTCTGATGATTGTGAAGCATGACCATTCATGATTTTAGAGGAGTATTAGGTGGGGGATTGTCGGAACGATTTAAATTCTGACTAGATTTTTTCTCAATTTAAATCACTGAACTAAAAAAAAAAGAAAGGAGAAAACAACGTCCAAGAACAGAATTCTTCTTGTAAATTCATAAATACAACGTTCTTATTTTGTAACTTTCGATAGACTTGACCTCCAACCCCCCCCCCCCCCCCCCCCCCTCCCTCAAACCTGGGAACATTATATCTAACAATGTTTATGTTCCTGTCCAAATAAAAAAAAAAAATAAAAAAAAAAGAAAGAGATGAACCACTAGAGATGAACTGTAAGTCACATCAGATTCAGATATTTGTATAGTTGATTGTCGTTAACTAGAGATGTATAGTTACATGTCTCTGCGTTAACTGATAAGAATAACAGGAAAGTATAAACTTGAAATAGATTTATGATGAATAATATGCAACTGCGGCACCCCTTTTTATCAAAGCGTACATGCATGTATTTTAATGAATGTCCGTTATTTCGATCATAATGACAATTGTACGTGAAATCCTTTAGTTGGTGAGACTTTTTTTTTTACCAGATATGCGACTTTTCGTATTTATATTTTCTCTTATATTACTCTTATTTAATATTTTATGCATAAGTGCAATAGTGGGAATGGTTTATTCCCCCACAAGCTAACGTGATAAATTAATCAACCCTCAAGCTGATCAGACGTTAAT